CAGTAAGCACCTCAATAGACTTCTACCAGACTGCATAGTGCAACATCCCAGATAACAGTTTTTTATTTTTTTGTTATTCAGTTTGAAAACTAATCGTCTCATCTACACTTTAAAATGCTGAAGGTTGTGATATATAAAATAATAAATCGAGAAGTTGTGACTTTTATTTATAGGGAAGAAAATAGATTATAGATATTTGACAATAAGAAAATATTTGGACCTAGGAAGGTTGATGTACAGTACATCAGCAATTTACGATAAAATAATTAGGAATTTTATGATAACAGGTCATACTAAAATCTGTGATGGAATGGATATACATCTAGGAGGGGGAAAAAGGACTACAAACAAAATTTTGATGGAGAAAGCTCTTGTAAAATGTCCAATCAGAAGGCAGGAAAAGATATGCTAGGATAACATTAAGATTAATCTTTAGGTGCTGAGTTGTGAGGATGGGAGACAGCTGGAATTGGCTGAAGATCTGTCTAAGGGTGCCCCTACATATAGAATATTAACTGTAAGTAAAAGTAAAAAGTAAAGCTGTCCCACTATACGCCATGTAGGCGGTTACGGGGAGTGGAGGTATAGCTCCTACTCATTCTTGACCTTGGCACTAGATGGGGGTGAGTGGTCAGCATCACGCCCCGGCCGGCTTTACCTCCGGGAAAGGACCCCGGTACCCATTGGAAAGGAGGCTGGGTGGGCCCCAGAGCCGGTCTGGACACAGAGGTTAGAGGAAAAATCCTCTTCCCCCCGTCGGGGATCGAACCCCGGTTGCCCAGTCCGTAGCCAGTCACTATACCGACTGAGCTACGCCGGCTCAGAGTATTAACTGTACAATAAATATTGTGCAATTTTGTAGCCCCTACACAAATAAATAGACCCTGTACAAACATGATTCTGTAATAGTGACTTATACTGTTAAGTGAGCTGGAATATGAATATCAAAAATACATGTTTAGTTTCTTTTTCAAGAAGATTATATTCATGTTTTACATGTAGATGTTTCAACTTATCCTTTATTGAAAGTTGTTGCTCACTTTATAGAACAAGAAGGCACTGTCATGAAAAATGTTGTTCCTACTAGCCAAAGACCTCTGTGGCTACAGGACAAGCATTTGAAGATCTGACATTTACAAATGCAGTATAACCTCAGACATTGAGCAAAATTCCCCTTTTCTTGATCTGTCTGCCATGGTGTCAGACTTTTAACTGAAGAGATATTGCACAATATGCTTACTAGACAATGTAATAAAAACTGATGCAAATCTGTTTGTTCATTACATTTCAGATTCATTCATTGCTCCTTCAGTCATTATACAAACCTTTAATACTGCTCCTAAACCATGAGTTATAACTGCAAAAATCTGGTATTGTATAATTTTAATTTATTCTGAACATGTTGGAGAAGAAGAAAAGAAAAATGAAACATTGTAACTAGAAGGGTAATATCATATTTCCTTACTCAAATATGTCAGAGGTACTCTATAATTTGTTTTGTTGATTTAATTTGTTCTCATACCCCATTCACATCTTAATTCATGAAATATTTTCTAACTTTTTAAACTAAATTAAACATTCAATTACATTATTTACCATTTTTTGACAAACAAATGTAGGTTAGTATCTGAAGTGTTTAGAAAGTGGAAGGATACATACTTACAATAGCAAATGATAAGAAATCCCCTCCAATTTCCAGTTTTATTTTCTTCAGTGTTCCAACCATACCAAGACATGGACCACACCATTCTGAATACACATCTATCACTGGAAATTGAATTGAGCTAGAATATAATTTTTGTAATGAGAGACTAGTTCCTACATTTTCATGAGATTTTGCAAAATTTAAAATAAAATATGCATAACATCTGCAGTTAAATTTTAAAAATTCTTCACGTTACCTTACATATTACATTTGGAGTCATGCTAATTAAGTTAATCCATAACAGTGATTGAGATGATTTTCAGGAATTATTTTTGAAACTATCACTCACAGGAGACTGATCACAAGGTACATTTAAATACCAATTAGGAAAGGTTGTATGGAATTTTTATATAACATTGTAAAATATAGTCATGACTCTCTGACTTTTAGAACTGCCATCATTTTATAAGTTCTTTTCAGAATTAATACATCTGTTACTTTGCTTACCTACAAGACCATCTTTTTCAAGTAGTTTGTTCCATTCTTCTTCTGTATTCACCTCTGACTGCAGTTGGACAACTTGACCTTTCTTACCTGCCATCTTACGATTCCCAGCCTGATAAATGATAGACATCTCTTTATAGAAGACATATTTTATATTAGCTAACTAATTACAAATTATGTTATTTTAATATTCATACCAGTCGTCTTTTAGCCATAATTCTAAGACTGTTCCTTTGGAAAATTGTTCAGGAGACTAAAGCTTGTAAAATAACTTTATAACTAATTCAAACTCTGAGTTCATTCTGCTTTTATGTACCAGTCTCTGCAGGTTGAATACTGCAGAAAATTAAATAATGATACACCTCCAACAAAGTGACAGGTTGTACCATTGTGCTTATGACATGCACAGTAGAACTGAAAGAGATAGATGCGTGTCGTGATATGCAACATGCAGTGCTGGAGTAAGTATGAAATTATTTGCATGTTTATTTATCAACTGCTGTTCCAAACTCTTACTTGTAGAAAAGGATGGAAAAAAAAAGCATTTAAAGAAAACACACAATGAAGTTTTACACTGGTAGATTTACTTACAAAATTACTTTACAGAGTACTTTATATTGTAGGTAAGAGAAACTGGTTGTGTGTTAAATAACATAGTATGGAGGTGTATGGTTGCTAAGGGCAACAGGCTGTGTTGTCAGATTGATTTTGAAAACTCACTAAAATGTCAAGATTATATTGTTGTGATATTATTCTACATTAGAATTAATTATCATGTTTAATTGCATGTTTAAAATTACATTATTTTAAAATTATTAATTCATGAATGAGAACAATTAATATTATTGCTGTTGACTACCTCTGGTAGAAATAGTAACTGTGTTACTTTTACTTATTCTCCAAGGAAGTATAGTATTATTATTAGATTACAGAAAGGCTCAGAAATTAGTTTAAAGTATGTTGTCTGTACAAATATATTTTCTATGTTCTGTTCATTTTTGTTAACAGACTGAACTTTTACTAAAATTGTAAGATCTATTGGAAAGTGAATATTCTAAATGAAGATTAGGTGCAAGGTAGCAGTACAGAGTATAGGGAAATTGTGATTTCATATGTTGTAAGAAATTGCAGTCTCAAATTTCTTATGAGTTCTGAACTCTTTCTCACTATTTCAGTTTTTAGGTTTGTTTATGAAATTAATACAGTAATTTGTAACAGTTCTATAATTCTACAAATTATAATAATGAGAGCAAAAATTCACTAGCTGCTTGAAGAATATTAAATTTCTCAAATAATTTCCTAAATGATGGTATACCATAAAATTGTTATCTTGATTGTATTCTGAATGTAGAACAGACTTATTTGCATTAATGTGGACATCTTCTTGTATTTGATGATAGATTTGGGATTAAATGTAAAAGAGGCCTATATCTTACACATGTGATTACAGGCATCTTACCAGTGTCTGATTTTTCTTAATCTCATTGGCAATAAGCACACAAGCTTCTCCTTGCCCTTCTAATTAATGTGCCCTCCATGTCTGGTATGGTCATTCCCATTGAAGGATGAATAATAATTTAATCCAATATATGATTTATCTGCATTCCAAAGCACGCAATCAAATCTCATATTTTAGCTCCTCACCCACTTGCTCATATAAGGCCTCTTGTGATGCTTGAGAGGGTAAAAAAGAAAACCAACATTGGTATGAATGGTATTCTTGGCACTGTTGTCCATTTTAAATATGTGAGAAAACTGCTTTGGTCAGCTAATAAGTGTACGCTTCTGATTGCATTGTGATTGTGTTCTTGTGATTCTGGACTTTGTTTATAACCTATAATTTGGAACAAGACAGTTTCAGAAACTGGATCTTTCTGTCCTCAGGCAAAAAGTGGGCATTCTGAGTGTTTCAGAACATGGATCTATTTTGGTCTGGTAAGTAGAGAGTGCCTTCTCATTTGGGTTTGTTGTTTTGTTAGGGTAGAGTAGAGTAGAGTAGAGTTTATTTACATTCCATAGATCCTTCTTAGGACTCAACCAAAGGATGTAGAACATGTCATTTCATACAATATACATACACTTCAGAACTTTCAACACAAGTACAAGAACGTATTTCACATATCAATGTACATAAATTTCAGATTCTGCAATACAAGTATGAAAAATAATTTTACAAATTAATATACATTTAAATATAAATACAAAACTTGCTTTAACATATACATAGATTATGGATATAAAGCTTAAACATTTTCAGCAGAGATGAAATCATCTACAGAATAGAAGGAGTGAGTAAAGAGGTAATCTTTCAATGCAGGCTTGAATACCTTTATATCATAATTTAGACTTTTAATTGTTGGTGGAAGATTATTAAACAACTTGATACCTGTATAGTACACTCCTTTCTGATATTTAGTAAAGTTAGCATTTGGCACATATAGATCATGTTTACGTCTTGTATTTAAATTATGTACATCTGTATTTCTTTTAAATTTATCCATGTTTTCCACCACAAATGATAGCAAGCAGAGTATAAATTCACTTGCAAGTGGAAGTATATTAAATTTACAAAATAATTTTCTACAAGATACCCTGCTTTTGACACCAGCCATTATTCTAATTATTTTCTTTTGCATGCAAAAAACTTTATTACTGACAGTTAAATTGCTACCAGGTAGTTTTATAAAATTTATTTTTTGGAGGGGGCGTGGAGTCAAATAGAAGACGTTTTTACCAAGCGGGTTACCGCCTCTGTTGTGATCCCAGTTGGATGTAGCTCTCTGTTATTCATAGATGGCATAGAAGTACTTTGACGCTACCAACCTTTTGCAGTGATAGATCCTTTGGTAATCTGTGTGTAGGTTGTTTTCTTTGGTACTTGTTGTGTTTGGCCATGTGGAGATTGAATATTGTGTATGTTAGTGTTGAGTATGCTGTTTGGTGCTAGTAAGTTGTGATTTTGGTGTCAGAATTATGTCTACCTGCAGAGTGCACAGTGTTAGATTTTATGATTTAGAACCAAGAGCAATTCATTGTATGGCATATGAATCTACTCAGAGGAAGCTAGCAGTATCCAGGTACGTAACGAACGTAACCTTACATTCTATTTTTTGCCGGTTACCACAAATTATAGTTGAATCAATTATGTGATTATCGAGGTCGCGTTGAGGTCTGGAACCAGAAAGTTTAGAATGCGACTGAAATGGCTTGCTTATCGTCATGTGAAAGCGCTTTGTAAAACGCATTCATAAACCGTGGACGTATAGCTATCTTAATACAACGCTTAGGGACCTATCCATTTGCTCTGTACTCGTCTTAGTTTTCTGATTGCACCTACAGTAAGGAAGTGTCTGAAAAGAAGTTCACAGTGGTTTCGTATTTTTGAAATGGGTAACTGTCAAATATATGGAGGCACACACCAGGTATGGTTAACAGCACTAAGAACCCACCAGGGGATCACCAACCAAACAATAATGTTACTCTGAACTAGCCTAATATAAAGGAACTCAGAAGCTACTGTTTTGTGGTCAGATTCCAGGTGCTGCCAACATTACTGTCATTGTTGAGGCTTCTTATACAGGACTTCAACTTTGAGATGTATTCCATTACATGGTGAACTCAACAACACAAAATGTGTATACAAATTAGCTGTTAGTTTTGAACACTTAAAGAGAATCACCTGAAGATGACCAATTAAGGTCGAAACATATAGTGGATTATTAATAAACACTTAAACTGTAATTAAGAGTTGTTGTGTAGATGGAATGTGAACCTAACACACAAGATTTATCCCTTAAAATACATTGATATGAGATTTGAGGCTCTCATGGCAGTCACATTTTTGGTCACAGTCTTCTTTGTTGTGATGTAGTGTGGTCTTGTAGGTGGTTACCAGTATTTCAGAGGAATGTATCATTTTAATTTTCAGAAGACCGTTATCACCACAGTAATCTGTTATTTGTGGTCTCTGGGGTTCAACCCTGAAGATTGAGGCAATACATTTTGACAACTTTGCCTCTTGAATGATTCGCTTTATTTTAGGGTAGTGCCGTTTGTATTTCTGCCACATACTGCTTAATATAAATGTAATTTTAAAAATTTCTGTAGGCTATTGATATTAATGACAGTTGCAGCTCTGAAACTTTGTGTGTAGTGTGCTTACATCTGTTTTGTTTGTACAACCATTTACTTCAACAGATCAGATAGCTCAATAGAAGTTTGGGATCTTGCCCATACACCTCACATTGAACGAACCATTCCAGGCAGAGTGAATAGTTCAGTTGAAGCAATTACATGGTGTGGAGAACGCTTGTTCAGTGCTGGCCTTCAAGGAACAATTACAGAATACAACCTACAGACACTGTCATACAAGGTAAAGGTGCTGTTTTTAACTCATGTAAGTGTCTTCTGTCTTATTCAACATAAAGCCAAAGTTATACCTAATATAAGCTGCTAGAACCAATTCAATATGATAATGCTGACATATTTAGTTTAGTGACTGTTCATTCAGTGGTTGATGCTGGACCATTTGATAAGAGAATGTTTAAACTGTTAACTTTAATATTTTTCATAATATAATGGAAGCAGAAATTTGTTATTTAAGCTAATGATCACTTCAAAATTAAAGAGTTATATTATGTGACAGAAATTCCTTAATTGAATGCCACAGTGTAAAAAAAAAATTATGGCCATGTACAGTTACAGAAATTTTAACAACAGTGTGGGCTACTCCTCAAACCTGTATAGTAATATAAAGACAGCTGTCTTCTGGGTTGTTGTGCCATATAGTATGGAACAAGTTTACTGACATTTCAGAGGTGCTTGCTGCCTTCATCATCAGGACAGTTGCCCACTGAAGTCTCGGTAAACTTTTATCAAACTACAGAGTGCAACAACCCAGAATCCAGCCGTATTTTTGCTAACTACCAGAGAACGTGAAGTATTGTTTGATAATTTATGTGTTATTCTAAGTATGCATTATGTTTTTCATATAGTTTGATATTCCTGTGACAGCTGGCCCTTGTTGGTGTCTTGAAAGTAACTGTAGCAACACACGTCTTGCAGTAAGTATGATTTGTATGAACATAAACATCTGTCATTGGACATATTCATTGTTGAGGTGGCTGTTGTGATTGTATGAGAAATCTGTTAAATTAAAGTTCTGGTTGTCATGCCACTACTGGAGAAGTGATGACAAGTCTGTAAATGAAATTGACATAGAACACCAGGGGTACATTAATCTCAAGGAAGCTGGTCTGTTACTCTGTTTTTCTAAATTTTAATTAACAGTATCCCAAAGAGAGATATAATTCAATCATAAAAACCTTTGTCTCACTCATAATTCTTACAAAAGGATGTTATATGAGAAGAAGCATTTTTTCGATGCAAGAAGGAAATTGCAGCAGCTAAGTTTTGTTGTACTGCAGGTGATACTATTAAATCTATTCGTATGCTGAAGTGCTCTACTCACATTTATAGTTCATAAGTACAGTGAAGAAATATTTTTGTGTGGTGTAATATGTTAATATCTGTTATGATTTCTGGGTTTTTGCATCATGTGGTTGTATAAATGGTTACCATTGATTTGGAGGAAACGTTGTCATCATAACTGCCATGAAAACCAGAACTCTCAAATTTATTAATGTAAGTGTGAGTGGTATAAGAATTAAATAAAGTCACAGTACATTGTATGTAATTGAGATTTGAGATTCTCATGGTGGTGAAGATTCTTTAAACTTTATTTTTAATAATCCTGTATTAAAATTTATTAACTATGGATTTTTTGTAGGCTGGCACTGAAGATGGATATATCAACATTTTCACAGTTACTAATGATGGGTTAATGTATGAAAAAATTCTGGATAGACAAGAAGGTTAGTGTTGATTTATAATGCATGTGAATATATCTTTTCATAATGCCGACTACAAAAGAATGGAAAAATGTAAAAGGAAATGCACTAGAATGGGACATAGATAGTGTAAAGAAGGCTTACAGGATGGAAGATAAACATTAGTGTATTACATTAGTATTAAAGTCACAAAAATGTAGGTACTTTTCAGAATGGGTGGAGACAAAATATAGTCTTTGTTCCAGGGTGACACTGCCTTGTATTTGGAATAATTTGGGTCTTTACAATAATGAACTTTAATAACCATACCCACTCATTTTATTTCAATACATATGATATCACATATCATTGGTTGGTAATATACAGTGGACAGAATATATTAAGTTCTGGATTTATTACAATTATTTCCTCAATACCATGGCTATGAAACTTATTTCTTATCAGTTAATATTTTACCACTAACATAAGGTAGTTAATGTTTCAAACCTTACAGATGAAGTGTGGAACACAGAAATATAGAATTTATAAGTGGAAAAGGTAGAGTTTGTAAATCGAGTTGTGAAGCTGTTTTCTGTATGTTACATGCCTGTATAATTTCTGCAGGAAAATTTTGTGCTAGGTTATTGTAGGATTTGTTAAGAACTTAAATATTTCACAGTTTCAGAAATGAAATTTCTTTCATTTTGAACATTTGTCTTTCGAATTATATTGGTTTAAAGACTATCCTTATCTTATTCTGTAAGGTTTCTTACACAGTAAATAAAAGGAAACTTACACATATTCTCTTATAAACTTAACTGACAAAGTTAAGTGTATGGAGTAAATACTGTTCAGAGACACAGGTCCTTGATGTGTAGTAGACAGAAGCTTGAAAAACACTACAAGTGTTACAGTTATTTTGTCTATTTTATAGGTCGAATTCTATGCCTGGCATGGGATGCAACAGGTGATGTGATTATAACAGGCTCAGCAGATGCTGTACGAATCTGGAATGTTGACTCAGGGCATGCAATACATCGCATGACACCAGGTCGTGATGAGAGAAAGAAAGAAACCATCATATGGTGTCTTGCAGTCATTAAGGACTTCACCATTATTAGTGGTGACTCAAGGTAGTTACAGCTAAGAGTGGAATTGTTCACAGAAAGAAATGTTTTTCATTCTTAGCTACTCATGCAGTGATAAATCTGTTGATCAATTTCAGCCAGTTTCAATTTTAGGTAGCAGTAAATTATATTATGAGGTGGTCTTGTGATTTGGGCAAGTGTAGGGCATTATAGTGGGGTGTCAGTTTCCAGGATGTTTTACAAAATAGAGTGATGTGATTATAATGAACTTATTTATTTGTTCTGTTGTGAAGAAGTAATGTTGGGTAATTGGTTTCACCATTACAGTATCATTTGTGGGAATTAAAATTCATATTCTTTTCCAGTTCTGCCATAATTCATTGGCTGAAGTACTTGGAAACACATTTTTTATCCTTTTTTTATGGAAAATATAATGACAGTTTTTCAGAGTGCCTGTACAATGGAACCATGCAATAATTAAAAAGAGTATTGTAAAAATTTGAACTTTCATACATGTGTTTGTTGTGAACCAAGCTGTAGCAAGCATATTGTTTGAGGAGGGGATATATTTTTGTTACAGCTCATTTTATTACTTTTATCAACATTTTTCATCTCCACTGTCATTTAAAGTAACTCCAGCGTTTGATATGTTATAATTAGATATACGTTAAAACAGGAAAAATTGGTGCTTGCTGTCATTTTGTACGGTATGGCATAATCACATTATTTGTTGTTTTTTTTACTGAAACTGTAATATTATTTTTAACAGAGGCTGTATCACTTTCTGGGATGGCAACACAGGAACACAAATTGAAAGTTTTCAGACCCATAAGGCAGACATTTTGTGTCTCTGTTTAGCAGAAGATGAGAATTCTGTTTATTGTGCTGGTAAGTTTTCAGATCTCCTTATATTTGCAGAGGGATAGCTTTCCTTACTTCTCATCATTCTTCATCCCAGTTCTTTCAGCCCACTTTCCTTCATAGGAGAATGTCTTTATGTTTCATATTGTCAAGATGGCAGCCGTGATATTAGGAATTATATGTTTAGTCATATGTTGAGTTTGAAACATTTTGATCTCTGTTACCTCAATTATCTAGTTCAAAAGTACTTGTTCCTGTGAACCAGCATTGTTCATTTTGTATAATACCTATAATATAGGTTTGGTTTATTTTGATATAAATAACCCATTTGTGTTGGTCAGAGATAGCACCTAACTGTTAGAGTGAGAGCCTGTGATTCTGAAAGGTTACCTAGTATTTTATTCTCATTATGATGAGTTCAGTTGAATAACTATTTATGAAGCCATATTTCTGGTATGATCCAGAACATAGACACCCAGATTTCTTATGCTCATCTGCGCAATTACCTCTCTTCCCCATTTTTGTTCTCATCTTATAATTGAAGTTAAACTTAGAACAGTTAGGAAGTGAACTTATAGCACTTTGTAATAAGACTGAAGAAACGTGTCCCTGATAACAGATGAATTAATTTAATTTTTATTTTTTGCTGCTTGAAAATACATTGCAAGTCGCACACAATGTTGAAACACAACTGACTGATTTTTGGAAACTACATTATGATAATTATTTCAGTTATTGTATTTTGTTGAAGTTCAGTGGTTTGGACTGTGGTACTAGTGTACACACAGGTACCAGTTATTCGTGGGTGTTAGGCACAAGCATTTGCCATTTTTAAAGATGGGAAGTGAAGGCAGTTCTGATTCAAATTTATTTCTCTCCCACATTATTGGTAATTAAGGAATAATCTTGTTGTATTAGAATTGTGCAGTCTTCCACAACTGGAAAGTATTACAATAATTACGCTGAAATTTATGATGATGTGTTTGGCTTTTAAAGGTGTGGACCCATTGATCATTAGCTTTACAAAAGTTTGGCTGCGAGGTGGTACTGGTACAAGTAGTTGTGGTAGAAGTAAGTGGGTTAAGTCAGTGCAACGCCGGATCCATGATCATGATGTACGAGCCCTTGCCTTGGCAGATGGGAAACTCCTTTCAGCAGGTTAGCATGCTCTTCTATGCTTGTTTTATTATTGTACAAGTTTCTTTTCTCTGGACACTTTTAGAATTGTAATTTTGAAAAGCTGTAACATATTGTGTTGAGTTCTATTTCAGTTTACATTCATTCTTTGAAACCTTCCATTTGTTTCTTTAATTTCCTAAGATATACTGATGAAGTTACACATGGTGTATTTGTCAATAACTTTTGTCATTCAACATTAAATTCTCTATGGATTTTCCTGCATACTTTTTTATTCTCTTATTGTTGAAAAAGCCAGAACTTTATGAATGTGAGGTATACCACTCGTGTACTATCATTTAGATCCCATATCAAGCTATGTATCTCTGCTAGAGTTCATCTTGGTCTTCATTGTTGTCATGACATTAGGGGTAAAATGGGTACTGAAATACATACATCTACCTCTTGCCTTGCTAGGCCAGTATGTGGAAGGATTCTGTGAACCATGACAACTTAGAAATTTTAAGAAGTATTGTTGTGTATTTACCTTACTGATTTCTGCTTTTTAATGCTTATACTGTAGCATTTATTTTTTAATTTTTAATATTGATTCAGTCTAATTTGGTGTGTGTTTAATAATGTTTTTATAATTTGTGCTTACAAGTGTCTGTTGTTGTAGGTGTAGACAGTTACCTTGCAATAAGCAGTTACCCTCCTCGTCAGCTTGTAAAATATCCACCTCTTCTGCAGGTATGTTGATCTTTATTAAGTTACACATAATTTTATGTCATAGAGATGTAAACAGTAGTATTTATAAAAATCTAAGGGATGGCCTCTCCCTTTTACTTCAGAATCATCAGAATGAAGAATCATCAAACTTCATGTATGAAGAAAGCATCACAGCTTTTATTTTAACCTTACTGTTGGCCATTAGAACTCTGAGAAATATATATTAAGTAGGAGGCAGGCAACCTGCATGACAACAGTCATTGTTGTACAACAGTGGAATAATGCTTTTGGAATGTCATTGTACTTCAAAGAGTACATTTTTATATTCCTGTCAGCTTTATGAAAACATCGGTGTAAAACAACTGATAGTTTTATGAGAACAGTGGATTAATCATTTATACTTGAGTACCAACTCTGCAAATTTACTATTTTTAGATTTATGTTAAATTTTTGAAGTTAACATGTGAAAGGGAATAAAAATTGTGTATGAAAACTGTTTCTAAATAGCTGATTTAATATTGTTCTTGTTATAGGCTCCAAGTGTAAGTGTATGTCCTGAGGCACGATGTATAATGCTGCGGTACTTATCACATTTAGAGGTGTGGCAGCTTGGCAATACAGCACCCATTGAAAATGGAGATGAAATTCATGAAGGCATTTTGCCTTTGATCGAAGATCCAATTCGGTTATTGACCCTGAAGTCACGTGGTGGTGATGCTATTGTCTGTGCAGACATGAGCAGTAATGGAAAATGGATAGCCTACTCTAGTGTTACAACATTGTGTTTCTTCAGTTTTCAACTAGTAAGTCTACAAATTAATCTTTGCAATTGACATGCAAACTACTGGTTTCAGTTTATATAAGTAGGAACTGTCAAATGTCCTTGTTAACATTAACCACTAATTAATAAATAATAATGACTAGTTAACTGACTTGGTTTATCTTCAAGCTATTATATTACTTATAATTTTTATTATCATCTCTACAAAGAATTGCATTTATGTAACTATTACATTGCATAGTTTCATTTTCCTGCCATAGTCATTTACACGTTACTTGTAAATAGGGCAGCAAACCCAGCCTCCAGAAGGCTCCTGTTTTGTGTGAAGTTAGTTCAGCTCACAGAATCACATTCACTTCAGACAGCACACGAGCAATAGTTTCAACTAGCACTGGAGACATTGTGGTGATACAGTTGGGTGGAGATGAGCTAGTATTGGAGCATGTTTTCCATCCACTGGATGACAGATGTAAGTATTAGAAGTGAAACTTAGAATTAAAGCTTTTCTTTCATGATTATTGGGCTATCCTGAGTGGGATGTATATACTTCATACATGAGGTATGAGATATTAGGACTAGATTCATTGACCAAAATGATTCTACCTTGGTCATAGTAATGCCATCATGAAATTATTCAGGGATAATTACAGCTAATGGGAATGAGCTGTACTCCGTATTGGGATGCAGAGAGATTTAAGTAATCTCCTGTACAAAGCTTAATTTAACTCCAGAAATTGATAAATGAGATTTTAGCTAGAACATTTTCTTATCTGTCCAAAAATTTGTTGGAAACTGTAACAATCATAAAATATTTAGGATAAAGTGTATAATTAATGTATTGTAGCTTTCTAAGATTTATTCAGCTCCATGGAGTTAGTCAAGAGGACAAGACAAAGTCATTGCATCACTATTAAACTGAAGTAACGATGTCATTATGGTGGTGAAAACATATTATACTTTTATTAACTATTTGTTTGACTATGCACAGACTGTAGGTAAATGTAGAATGTAGCTGTTTAATATCAATTTAATTAATTCTTATTTGATTGTGTATGTTTAAGATTTTTTTGCTCAACAGCTATGTGTTCTACAGATATAATGATTAGTATGAAGCAGAATATAAATGCTTACCATTACAGTTCATATTTTATTTCACTTTATTATTAACAACAAAAGTAATCTTTGTTATTTGTGTTTGGCATCTTAATAGTGTTAAAGGATGCAGTACACTTGCTGACTGTCTCTCATGATGGTCAGTTCATCGTTGCAGGTGACCACTGTAGCAACATTATTGTATGGACCACAGCTGATTGGAAGGTAAGTAAGTATGTGTTCAGAGGTTAAATAGTTAGTTGGGAGAAAGTAATATTTGAAGATCAAATAGAATAATTAGATTTTATATTTCAGCCAAGTTAAATGGCTGTGTGGCAAGAAGTGAACTATTCATTCACTGCATTGTACTGCTATGTGATCTCACCACTTTTCTTTTGAGGCAGAGACTTCAACACCCTCACTGACTAGATAACCACTGGTATTTGTTGGGGTGTATTAAAAGTTGTATTTCAATATAACTTTCATTGGATTGAGTGAATTTTCAGTAATTTTATTGTTTTTCATGTAAAATGATTTTACTACTGAATGGTTTTACAGAGCGAGGTAGATCAGTGACACATCTAACTTGTATTTGGAAAGTATCCTGTTTAAGTTTTGGCTGAAACAGTGGCTATCCTGACAGGTGTCTCCATGTGGCTGCTGTGTGCATAATCTTTTGTACAAAATCATAATGTTATTATATATTTAATAACGTATGTAGTCTTACATTGAGATTAATTTGATCAACTAGTTTAGCATCTTATATAACAAGCATTTTACACTTATAAATATGAACATCTACTGCTGTTTCTCAAATTTTAAGATATATTTTCTTTTCATATCTCCTCCATCACTTAGATATTCATTCACCTTGATTAATTGAAAAAAAAACTCATGGGTTAGTAGCCCCGAGTTTGAATCCATGGATCCCCATAAGGTCCATTAACATGTTCACTCCTGCTGCCTGTCAGATTTTTTGCAGTAGAGGAAAAATTTGTATGTACTGTATATGTATGGTGTAGATCATGAGAAATAGTCATTGTTGTTTTGCTGTTTTAATTTTATGCTTTGTATTTTTTATAAAATTGTGCGATGTCATAATCTAAAATTCCATCACTTTATTCTGTTCCAGCATCATTGTTCCTTGCCACGATACAGTTGTGTGCCAACTGCTTTATCTGTCCATCCTCGCACCAATGTGCTTGTGATTGTTTACAGTGATCACAAGGTTGGTGCTACTTTACAATTTCTGACAAAAATTTAAACAGTGCAAGACCTTAGAATAAATGTTCCTCAATTCTTGCCTGATACAATAATTTTTCAGATATTGTTATTAAAAGTATATTTATTTTTAAATTGTACAGAGAAGAAAATGTTGAATGCCATTTTGGTAGTTTTACAAATTATACAAGAATGTACTATTATTGACAAAATTCACATTACTTGCTGTTTGCTTCTGAGACACATTCTGTGTGTGTGTAAGGAGTAGCATATGTAAATGCACATCTTTCATTGTGCATAGTATTTTCTAGTAAAGTTGTTTGCTTTCAGTACAATGGTTATTATACAGCAGTAGCATAGACTAAGATGTTTTTCATTTTCCTGTAGGTTGTAGAATACAGTCTATGTGGACGTAAATATACAACGTTCTCCAGGGGTCTTGAAGGCCGCCACCCTGTGCAGTGGCTCTCAAGAGGTTTTGCAGTAAACAGTGTGACGTTTGATCCAAACAATGAGGATATTATTATGCTTCAAGATGACAATACAATATGCATCATCGATAAGGATAAGGTCTCTTTATATTGCTTATGAATCTGTTTATGAATGATGTTGATATCTTTGCGGTAGTGACAACCTGGTTACAGGCTTCAGTGCACTGAGTTCCTGCTGGAACAATTGCCATAACAGGGGTGGTGATTATATAATTAATAATGTTATGATGTCATGATGTCTGGATGTGTGTAAAAAGTAAAGCTGTCCCACTATGCGCCCACTGTGTGTGTAGGCGGTGTTAATAAATGCTGTATCACGGTGTCCTTGTGTACCTACGGTTTAAAAATCCCTCATAGTATGCGTGGGGAAAATGAGAGATGTGTACAGAATTTAATTAAAAAAAGTTAACAGGAAGTGACTGGCAATTTTTCCATGTATTGATCTTTGGTGACTGGTATAATGTGATTATTTTATGTCTCTTGCAGGAACTGCCATTGGCAGAAGCTAAGATTCCCAGAGTTGGTTCTCCACAATCACTTTCAGATAGTCTCGACAGCAGTCAATGTCACCCAAGAACTACCACACCTCAGCATGCCTTCCATGTTATAAAGAAATATAAGGTAAGGGCATATGTGGGGGTAGTTCCCATCTCCATGGAAGATCTTACATCTTCTGCATATTTCTGTAATTGAACTAGTATTGTCTGTTATTTCTTACAATCCCTTCAACAAAATTCAAATGAGTCCCAGTTGTGCTGAAATGGAATTGACAGGTTAGCTTTGGAGGTCTTGTACAAACACTTTGTCTTTAGGAGCTCTTGCAATTTATTCTTCATAAACCTCTGAGATTTGCTTTTTTGTGACATATATTTTTATTTAGGCTTGACATGAATGTTTTAGATATCAGTGTACAGTCCTGATATACAGTACATTTTACAAGTGAGGGTTTTAAACTACTCTGTACCACCTGAAGTTGTGTGGGAATCTGTACTACTCTGTTGGTGTATATGTTACAGCAAAAGCCCGAATGTTGATGAAACCTGGGATCTACCAGACAAACCTAGGTTTTACCAAACAGTGTTGGTAAAAGCCCAAAAAATAACTATTCTCGTCTTATTTCAGGGTTTTACCATTCGCTGTTGGTAAAACCCCATATTCCACGAGAAGATGGAAAAGTAAAGAGAAGGGTATAAATGTAGTAATTCACTCTTATAATCGATACTTTTTCTATTTTCGGTTCCATAAATTACAACTTTAGAAACATACATTCCTCATCTAAGTTGTTTTTTAAAAAAGTTTAACAGGAGTAAAAGTAACAGAGAAAAACATTGCAAGAAATATAAAAATTGTGAAATAAAAGTATAAGACATCTAACCTAACCTAACTTGACCTTTTACTACCTGCTTATGGTAAATCCTAACATTTACCAACACCCATTGGTAAGACCCCAAAATAAGACATGAATAGTTCTTTTTTTGGGCTTTTACCAACACTGTTTGGTAAAACCTAGGTTTCACCAACATTTGGGCTTTTATGGTAACATAAATACATTTTTCATACACACACTCTGATATTTCGTATATGTACTTCATTGTTCGTTTTATTGCAAATGCAAATGTACTTTTGGAAAGTTAATTGCATTGCTGATGTAACGCTGCACAGTTTGAAATTATTTTTCCTTGTACTTATTTAAGTGTTCCCCATATTAAGAAAATATTTCTATTAAGGCTTGTTTATATTATTGTACCTATATTTTATATTAAGTGCCTAGTTACCTCCCAGTTACACGCACATTTTATTTTGAGCAGGGAATGAACATGTTTATCACCTTTATTGCTACTTAACATGAACCATTAAATCACTGTTAGCTATAGGTTCTTGATACATAACCACTGAATGGAAATTACACGTGATCGTTGCAGCATCTTGTTCATGTGGATTGGCTGAGTGGGGATGAACTCATTGCAGTGGAAGTGAATCCACTTGCCCTTGCTGAGAAACTTCCAGCGTCACTCAAAGAGAAGAGGTTTGGTGTAATGTAAAGCAACAAATGGATGAATATAAGACCAAGTGCAGTATTCATAATGTCTTACAGATGCAAACATTTAAAACCTGTGGTGTATGTGTTGATTTACATCAGTTAGAAGTAAAGTTTCAATGTGGAATGTTTGTACAACAGAGCTTGTATGTTTTAAGTTGTTTATAATTTTAAATACTTCTCATCCCATCTGTATAATTGCTACATGAGGACAGTCAGATGTTTATGAAATTTTGTCACATTGTCATTTTTTAGGAAGTTACATTCATGTCTCTTGCTTATGCAGAATATTATTCAGTTGGTTATTACATATACCCTTTGTTACTCAAATAGATGACTCATATATGCATGTTATTGTGCAGTGTTTTGTATATTACCATGTTAACTGGCTGAATAAAAGAATTTTCGTATATTAATGTGTGAGTGTCTGAGAAAGTCCATCCTGATCCAGCCATTAGAAAACCGTTTCCCAAACCTGGTCTGTAAACAAAACTGACGATCTTGCATAGGAATTTTATGCCAAGAAAATATAAAATCTAAATGTTATACTTTTGTATCCTGTTGTGGAATAACCTAGGAAATATGTAAGAATATTAGTTCATCTTACAACATATTAGTAAATTTTACATAGTTGCATAATAAAATAAATTATGCATGAGCATTATATTTTGGCTTAACAGCTATCATTTAGACATGAGATTTCAAGTTCTTGTAGCAGTGAAGATGTTGATTGTGGTCATCTCAGTTGTGCGATGTCATGTGGTCTTGTAATCAACGCAGAAGACCATAATTGACATCGGGCTCATCTTACAGTGCACTGTTTAAAATGGGAAGCTGGTTTTGTATATATGCTTCTCTGAGCAATATCATGACAGGTCTTCTGGTGTTTTATAATTTCAGTTACGGTTTTTCATGTTAGGTGTTGGAGTATGTTTTTATATAGTCATAGTCTTCTTAATTAACAGTATTACAATTTAGTGTGAGGTGTACAGTTTGTGTAAGCATATACTTGAAAAATCTGTAGTTTTAATATTATGTTGTTAGAAGAAAATTTGTTATGAGTGGTCTTTATGTGAAGGTAGGGCATGAGTAAATTGGTTTGATTTAGTGTGAATATGAAGGACTTACATGTACTACTATGTTAGAAGAATTACGCATTTTTTTGTAAGTTCTGTTAATGATTCTGAATCTGTTTATTGGTGGGTTTTTGAAAGGAATTGTGTCCATAAATTGTATAGTATTAAATGCTTAAGTAGTGACCAGTTCCGATGATTGAAAACAGTAGGAACAACCGACTTTCTAAACTATTTGGTATTTCAGGGGTACTTGCTGCCTTTATCGCCAGGGTGATGATAGCTCTGGTGATGGAGGAAAGGTGCAACCAGACTAAATGGGTCTAGAACCCTGACAGCCACGTTCAGAATGACTCGAAAGTTCGCCTCCTTGCCAGCTAAACTGTCGATGTTGGTCGCACCTGTATTTTTCCTGCTAGGATAAGTTGGCAGAACAATCTTTGCATGTGCTACGTTCAGGTCAGTACCCTACTCATACGTTGGTATTCGTGAGGTATGATAGTGATCCAACTGTCAGCGACAGCTGGTGTTTTCTAATGTTTGGTTATAAAGTTTTTTCTTTTGTTTATGGGATGGTTGAAAAATAAATCAAGTTTTCACCGAAGCTGAAACATCGTGCTGGTAAATATTAATTTGAACTACATTCGTATTTGCTGTGTTGTTTGTAATAGACCAGATATTTGTCCATTTTCCGTTTTGTCCTGTCGAAGACTGTTGTAGTAGCGCAGAGGCACGGCTTGTCCGTCGACCCCAGAGCCAGGCCTGGACCTTATTGCACATAATTTTCGGGTTCGGGCCTGGTTAAAGTTATGGTAGTCAAACTTGAAATAGAATATTTCAGGCTTTCTCGGGCCGTTATTTTCTCGCAAAGAAAACTATTCGCAGTTGCGTTATCCAATTCTCATGACACTGTCGGGCCTGGAAACAAATTCTACTGACTTGAGTTTCTCGGGGTTTTTCAGACATAATTCGAGATAACGTCTTAAAACTTGGCATTCGATGTCTTTGTACAGTTCCTCAAGCGCCAAAATAGCCTAAGATGTTAATAGATCGTCGTCAGATACTTAGTTCGAGGATTACAGGCATTTATGCATTAAAATAGAAATATATTCATGATATGGTAAGCAGATTGCAAATATATCGGGCTGGAATAAAGGGAAGTTAGGCTTAGATCGGGTTTGTGAAACGTATTTGAAGACAAACTTTGAGGCTGTGCCAAATGCTCCTCAGGCTGGGCTAGATGAAATTCTAAAATGTTGGCCTGTGCAGACTTTAAAAGTGGTGTGCACATGATCACATTTTCTGAATTGACTCGTTTTGTTCATTTCAGGTGATAAATATAATGACTGTGATTCACGGCCTCTTTGAAATCTATGAATTAATAACTGCAGGTTGATTTGTCATTTTCTGTTTTTGTAAAGGATTAACTGATTCTTTTTTTCAATGATTCAGAAGTTCAAATAACCACATCATTGCAGATGATAGCTTTTGAGGAACACCCTCAGTTCTAAAATTATCAGAAATATTGGATTTGTCTCTGAATTTTTCATCTGAAACAGATCAGGAGCTGATCATGAGGAGACAATCAATGTAACCCCAGCATCAGTAGCAGTACTGCAACCTAAGTATGACGTCCATGACTAAAAGAGCAAATGCTATTGTCATGTGTTTCACTAAGCCTGTTCTTCAATATCTGGAGGGGTTGGAGGAGAAAGAAAGGAAGGAATCACATATTCAAATGATTAAAAGAGTTCCATCCTTTCAGTTGAATAGAAGATGTGTTTCTCAATATTTTTTAATATTTTAAATTCTGGATATAGTTTGTCAGGCTGTAAAGCAGTATCAAGTTCATCTGAGATTTCAGGTTATCACAACAGTGAATATGAAGATGAGATGTTGTGCTGTGTAGTCTGACAGAAGTTTACTAACATCTTAGATTCCATCATCAGTGTGCCCTGGTGATGGATGTAGCCACAAATACCTCTGAAATGTGTTTCATATAAGGTCAGCTTACTAGATGTTGTCCTTGCCTGTTATATATTTACTATAGCTGTGAAATATATTTTTCAGGTGATGTAAGATGGACAGAAATCTGCAGTCACCATCACATCTTACAGAATTTGCTCCTTTAAGTCCTGAGCCAAGTCAGCCAGGTGTTGGATTTTTGTTGTCTAAGTTCTTCAAATTTAATAAAGGTACAACTCATTTTGTTGAACATCTTAAAATCAAAATGTCAGAAGGCATGAAATTGAGCATTGTAACTGAGAGATTAGCATTCTTGCTTCATATTTTAGAGGTCCTGGTGATCAGTTATTAACTACTTATGCTGACTTTCTTTATTGAAGGTTTGTATGGTTTTCTTGAGTGCTCTATAATTGCTGAGATGTTATAGTACTTTCAAATAGAGCACGGCTGCTTTCACTGAAGTCTTCTTGGGCAGTTAGCCACATCAGATGGCTGTGTAAAAAAATCTCAGTTTTCATTATCAGGGATCTGAGATATGATTTCTGATAGTGAGGACTGAGGCAGCTCTCAAAACATCGGTATTTTATGGCCACTTGATGCAACTGATTGCCTTTGAAGATTTAATTGAATTTGGTTACTGCAAAAGCTATATAGATCATATGGATTGTCGCTGCTTTATTCCATATCATTTTCAGTTCATTAATAATCTTTGATATAACTGATGTAGTTTTGAAAAATGCAATTAAACTGTGAAATAAATGGAGGGCACCAAGTATGTGTGTTGTGTCTTACTTATTCTGAGTTTTACTTATCTAAAATTCTAAAAGTTGTTTCATTCCACTGTTGATGACATGTTACTCCACTTTTAATTCTAGAATTTTTCATTAAACATCTTTCCTGTAAGTTATTGAAATTTGCATTGATTGACTTTGACATGGATGGAAGCTGTTAAGTATGGAAAGTTCTAACTCTCTTTCATTGAAGATTTAAGTGGTAGATATTTGTTAGAATACTGACAACTTAACTGTGATGTATAGTTCAGTTTTAATATATTTTAATAAGTTTATGGTGTAGTGGGTTATTTTCACTGACAAAAAATCCACAGAATTTGTGTGTTCCACTTATGCTTACTAGTAAAGTAAAGGTAAAGCTGTCCCACTATACACCATGTAGGCGCTTGGGGGGAGACCTTGGCGCTAGATGGGGTGAGTGGTCAACATCACACCCCGGCCGTGCTTTACTCCCGGGAAAGGACCCCAGTACCCATTGGGTAGGAGGCTGGGTGGACCTCAGAGCCAGTCTGGATGCAGTGGCTAGAGGAAAAATCCTCTGCCCCCATTGCAGATCTAACCTCAATCATCCAGCCCATAGTTAGTCACTATACTGACTTATCTATCCTGGCTCCTCTCATGCTTACTAGTTCCATCACAAACATTCCATTAAGTAAATTAAATTAAGCTAATGCAACCTAACTTGCTTGTTGGTAAATATGTAGAGTGTGTATAAACCTGGGCCTCTGTGATGAGAAGCTGGTGGGTGACTGTCTGAGTTATGGCACGGTCTTCATACTTCCTTAAAATTTTCATAGGTGGCCCTGTGGCAGATTTTAATGCTCCATCACCAACACAAGTATTTCCAGATACCCCTGTCAAAACAGACTGGCAGTCTTCTGATAACTTGGTGAGCATGGATATATTGTATACTTTAATTTGTAACTCATTTATTGCATCTATTTTAATCTCAAGTACTAAGTATGATCTTTTATTGTATTCAGAGCCTGTTTTTTTCCAGAACTTCTTTATTCACAAAGTGCAGTGGACACTTGGTCTCTGTGTGTGCCCACACATATACATGCATGTGGGGGTAGATAGCGCCAGAGTTCATACTTTGTCATTTTGTATTTGTGTTTGAAGTGCTTGGATTTGACAGTACCTTGCTTGTACTAAGTGCCAACTTAGGTACAGAAGTCAGTAATTTTTGAAATTGAGGTGGTGTTAACGTTTATCCTAATTTAATGCAGCTTTAATTTGAAATAACTTTTAAATGTTGATTCTGTGAAAAAACTGTGCTTATTACTCATATTTATTATCTGACTTTTGGATATTTGAGCTATTAACCTATTGTGAATTCAGATTTGGTATCAGTTTTTAATTTGTTCATACTGTTTGACTGTGTACATGGCATTGATGTCATTATGTGGAAAAACAGATAATTGATATAATTTATTTTATGCATGGCAAACAAATGTTTATTTACTTTAAATACAGGAACAGAGGGACACTGTTTCTGATGACTTGGTGACCCAGTTCCCTGTGGATGTGGGTGAAGGAAGAAGCCTCCCTAATGTGCTTAAGAGGATCAGCAGTCTTTTGGCTCTCAAGAGCACAGTCAGTATAATTTGTATTAATCTGTTAGTTAAAGGAAGGCTTTTGAAGAAACATAGTGAGTTTTTATTGCTTGTGGAATATAACAACACAACATTATGTAATGGCACTTTAATTATAGAAATATATAAGTTTAGTATAGAGTATTAACAGTTCTTTTCCAATGTTGATTTAATGATGGCATTATTATTGGTGCCAAATGTCATTATCATTTGTGAGTGTGCATACACATACATTTTTATTTATATAAATGTATTTGTGATTTTTTTCATTTTGTTGTTATCTGTCACCCACAATAACAATGACAATAATAATAATAATAATAATAAAAATAAATAATTATACCAGTTATTAAAGGTAAAAAATTAAAAATTCAGTACTTTTCAGAGACTTGTGTCATCTCTGTATTTAGGTAAAGTACTGTGAGGATGTTTAAATAGAAACCTTTTTGGGGTCAGTTGTATGCTGTGAATTCAGCTCACTAAAAGCTACATGCAGATGGCATATATGACATAGTTTGTCAGCCCCTGTGATGGATCTTTATCATCTTTGTTATCTGGGTTCGTGAGTGGTCCTCATATATTCTGTATAAACAATCCCTTATGTATTCATCACTTGTCCATCTGCAGGAACTTCAGGCATACAAAGACACAGACTTCAAACAGTACTGGATGCCAGATTCAGTAAGCAAGGAATGTTATGACTGTGGTGAGAGGTTTACAACATTCAGGCGTCGTCATCATTGTCGTGTATGTGGACAGATCTTCTGCTCTCGATGTTGCAACCAAGAGATTCCAGGCAAGATCATGGGGTGCACAGGTACAGTGTAGAATTAGCTCAACTACTGAAATACCTTTAAGGTTTCTGTATGGTAAAACTGTAAAACAATGGTATTTTAAATTTTAAGAGCCATTCTACATTTTTGAGTAAGACAACTTATTATTTTTAGGTGACTTACGTGTGTGTACTTATTGCTGTAAAGTCGTACTGTCCTACCTGCAGTCATCAGATATGGGTGCTGATCTGTCTGCTGATCTGAGGGCCTTGCAGGAAGACCTACAGACAAAATTTGGTAACACAGCTCCATCCTTGGCCTCATTATCACAAGGCAGTACCAGCAGTACATGTGGCAATATTGCAGAGTGTCAGGATAATTCCTCAGGGACTAGTCGTAGAAAATTGTCACTTAATATCCAGGAAGATAGATTTGTGCTTGGCAGGTGAGCATACAAAATCTTTATTATTGATTATTATGTTATTTCATTGAGATTTTCTTGTGTCTCTATCTCCTAATCTGTAGACATTTGACTGATCTTCATTGGATTCACGTTATTGTTGGTACCCTTTAATTCTATCATCAGAAATTATAGGTGGTGGATATTTAGATTTGTGAGGTAGAAATAACTTTAATGTCATTCAGTGGCACAGTGACAGACATGACATTTGAGTAGTGATGTATCTGTGAATAATATGCAACATTCAGTGCATATTTATTTTTGAAGAAATAACAGCATGATTTTGCAATATGTTTTGGTGTGGTTGCTGTAAGCAATGTCTCACAGTATTGTGATGTGAAAAAGTAGGTACTGTTTGACGATCTTGAAAAGTGTTTCTATTTGATGGCTGTAATTGATAAATCATCGCAAGATGAAGTGAAAGATTGCACGAGGGCAGTATGAAACATTTGGTTTGAAGATTGTATGTAATGAATCATTGTTATATGTAAAGAAAAATTGGCTATTCAAAATGTTCTGATTTGACAAATAAATTATGAATTATGTTATGTTACGTGTGAAACTTATATGGGAACACATTATAGATATATATGTGCTGTTAAAACCTCCAAAACCCAGCCCTTCAAAATTGTGAAATACACTACACTAATGGCTACTTATGTACTTTTGATACAGGAATTTTGGACTAAGTTATGATGATGTACAAGCATTGCACCTTAATTTATTTATTCCTCAAGTGGATAGATCAGATCAGAAGATAACTGTAAATGAGGAATTGGGAAGGATGTGGAAGGAAGCAGTAATGAACCTCTTTTTTTAAAATTCTGTCTCATAATTCTCCTGAAATGAGTGAGAGTAATCATGAGGAATGTGAATCATGATTTTGAACTGAGGGCTAGAATTGATCCTGTATATATCTACTATAAAGCAGCAGTTCTAACTGCTCAGTCATGACATTTAATGTGATGAAACATGCTGATAAAACTTAATCTCTCTGTTTACTGAAATTTAATTTTGCAAGTGAGATTTGAGTTTCTTACAGCAATGAGTATGAATGTGGCTGGCTTCTGTGATGTTGAACCATGTAGTCTGGTAGATGCTGATAAACATTTTAGAGGAACTTACTGCCTCCATCATTATGGCGATGAGTAAGTGCATGTGGCCACGGTTCTGCCTTGTCCAACCTAATCTTATATCTCCCCCAACATTTCTGTGTGTGTAACCTATTCATCACCCTGAAGTTCCTTGAATGTCATTTACACTGTACCAGAATACATGTGCCACTTTCCAAAAGAGAGCCATTTTCATGACTGTGTAAGTTACTGTTATGTACAGTTGCATAATTCATACAGCACCATTCGTTATTTTTATGCAGAGCCCAAGGGTCTAATTACATGAGTATGGAGGAGCGTTGCCGTGTACTGCAGAAATCATCATCCCTTCGAGCACTGTTTGAAGACATCTGTCATCCAAATATGGGGATGACTTTACAAACACATCGGTATCATCTGCGCAATTATCATAATTGTTTCTTAGGCAGTGAGCTTGTGGATTGGTTGTTAACACAGAGTCATGCAGCTACAAGGTAAGTTAGAAGTTAATTTATAAAAGCCAGCTTTGTCCCAGTTGTTCTCATATTAGCAATGAGAGCAATGAATCAGAAGATAAATACAGAGGTAGAAATGGATTTGTAAAAAGATGGAGGTTTTGCAAAAGTGAATTGGATTGAGCAGAGTTGGAATTAAAACCAAAGGCGTGATTCAGGATTTAACACTAGATTGTACCTATATAATTATATAAACCAGTAAACAAACATTGTATAAGACATATTCAAGGTCTGTTCCTTCAGTTTTGTGGTATTGAGGCTTACTGTGTTTACTGTTTAGTATTTATATGTACTACTTGTTTGTTTTTTAAAATCAGAATTCAGGGTACAGCTATAGGGCAGACTTTGATAGAAGCAGGTTACCTGGACTGTATAGGTGAACAGAATTTTCTGGATGCTTATGCCCTGTATCGACCACGGCAAGTGTTGTCACCACTACAGTACAGCAGTCCAACAAGTCCGATTGAAGATAATGGGAGGATTAGCCATGAAGCACAGGAACCTTTGTGGGTTAAACAAATTCCACAGCAGGATTCTGTCACCACTGGTAAGATGTGGGCAGCACTGTGAAAAGTTTAAAGTAACAGACACACTTCCTTGACCGAGTTCAACTGACTTAACCTTTTAACTGGATAATTTATAATTGAATGAAATCAACAGTAACTTCTTGTTGGGTGCTGCATGCAATTTTGTAATATGATTTGGAGAAGTTATACTGGATAGCTTGTTAAGACTTATCCCTTTAGAATTGTAAAAATAAAATGTCCTGTCATTGTTACTTGAATTATTCTTAGCTTATATGTTGATGCTGTTTTAACTGCATAAATTGCAGTTTGGTATGATGGAAAGATGATGAATGTTGTATAGTTATTGATTTGGATGCATGCTCTTGTTTGTTTGCTTAGTAGGTATAGACTGGGAAGTTTCAAAGGAAGAAACTACTTGTTAAATATAGATGTAGATTGTAGGATGATATTAAATTAGATTATTGACAGATGGGATGCAAAGATATTAATTAAAATGACCTGATATAGGGTATGATGTTATTTGACTTTTGTGAACTCAGTGTCAAACCTTTTGATTGGATGAAAGCCAGAAATTTCTTATTAGTTAGGTAACTATCAAATGCTCAAGAAATATCTGCCTCATTGAGATAGTTAATATGGGTCTGGTAACCTGAATTGCCAATGACTAATGCTCAAGTCAGAAATGTACTTCATATACACTGGAGATTGTTATATTTTGTAGATTCAGAATCAGACTGCCAGCTGTCAGAACACGATGAAACATTAAGCTTGCCTTCGTCAAGTTCTTCATTCTATCTGGACCTCAATGTGGCTGAAAACAGTGTTCATATCAGTCGGCCTGTGGCTGTCAAACAGGATCAACATCAAACTGACAGTGAGCCAGGAGAAGTGAAGTCTCCAGCACGTAAGTGATATACAAAAAAGTTTATATGATGATTGCTAGATGTAAGTACACAGTTTAAGATCTGTGAATTATGTTATTTGTACTTTGAATCTGAAGGCCAATTAGCATTGTAACTGGTTTGGTATGTTGTCATAAATCTGCATCTGTAGGGTGTTAATGTGTCAAAACAGTCCACTGATATTCTGGTCTCTTCAAAGAAAAATATAGTAGTATATATGTTTTACACATATGGGAATGAGGATTTCTCAATTTTAAAGGTTGAATTGTTAATGCTTTTGTTGTTAAAAGTAGGTAATAAACAACTGCTGGAGAGTTCTCATACATATGGCATATCAAGTGAATTTCTCTCTGGAACCCTTCTCCTTCAGAATTCCCAGAGTAGGGAGTCAGTTCCTACATCTGGATGGCATAATGTCACACAACTACGGACTTATAATGGAGAACAGCAGGCATATCTACAGCTCAGGTGAAGTGGTGTTCTTGTTTAGTAGTAGTTACAGATTCATTAAAAAAATTGTCTGGTGATGCAGAGACTTGCTTATGCAGAGCTGAAGTTGTTCAGAATATATGTATTATACATTCTGTTTCAAACATGTTAATGAGTTATGAATATGGCAAGAATGTAATACTGGAGTAAAGATGGAGAAAATGTTTTACTTACATAATTATTTATTGATGAGACATAAGCTCACATAAGGGAAGGAATTCATATCAAATTTTTATCCGAGAAGTCTCATTGAAAGAGACATTGAACTGTGAGTGAGATAGTAATACTGAAATGGGTTGTGATGGTATAAACTGAATTTAATGGATTCAAGGTGGGATCTAGTGGTGGGCTTTTATGTAGACAGTGGTGAGCCTTACAATTTCATAACAGAAGGGAATTTATTTGAACAGCTGCTCAAGGAAGAGCCAATGCCACAGAGCGTATGTAATTCTTTCTCATTTAGACAGTGAAATTTTTCTTCAGTGCAGCATATTTGCACTTCAATTGATAGTAAATGTGAAATATCTGTGTGTTCACAGTAATGGATTCAAGCAGCACATGCACAACTTATTAAAGCAACTGCTGAATTTAGAGGGCTTATCGCAGAGCTGGATAGACATTGTGGTGCCTTTGGCTCAGCAGATTGTTGATACTGTTCGGCCTGATGTGCGAAATGATGCTGATGATATGGACATTAGGCAGTGAGTAGCCAGCAGGTATAATATTGAATTGAGGGAAGAGAGGGAACTTTCATTGCATAACTGAATTATTGCAGATGTCTGTAATCAATTTTTACATCCCATTGGAATTCAGTGAGTTAGGATGGAGAAGTGATGATGCCAAATTCACATCTACTGCAACTTCATGTTTATTGTAAATATTTTACCACCACAGGAATTCTGTTTATGTATGTTTGTTTAACAACATTTTAGGTACACCTGTATTTATGTAATATCAATGCTTTGAAGCTTTACACATAAGACAGGTGTTCTATGTGTAAAGTACAATTATGTTACAATGTGAAAGCCATAGAATCAGGACATTGCCTTCCTACAAGGGATATGCTAAATTTCTGTCAGATCCATTCTGTTCCATTCACAGGTGATTTTTGCCTTTTACAGGTATGTTCAGTTTAAGAAAGTTCCTGGTGGAAGTCGAAATGAGAGTTGCATTGTAAATGGTGTAGTATGTTCCAAGAATGTGGCCCATCGTGCAATGTCCACAGAATTGGTCTCACCTCGCATACTGCTTCTTGGCTGCTCTATTGTATACCAGCGTATTGAAGGCAGGCTACTATCTCTGGAACCAGTCATAATGCAGGTTTGTCACAAATATCTGATTTCAGATTAATTTATTCATAAAGTTGTATGTTTTAATTTCTAACGATGAAGTTATTTTAGAATTGAGAAAATTATTAGCCATTGTAAACATGAATGTAATAAATTAAGATATAGTTATTTTTGGTTAAATCCCTGTTATTTGGTTTTTTAAATGTCTTATAACATTTTGTTTTAATTTGGTTGACAGAACTATTTACATAATTTTGTAATAATCTTCATGAAAGTCTTGACGCAGAAATTAGTGCTTAAAATGTTCTGGGTGCATAAACTTCCTTGAAAAGATTGACCGGTTCAATCCACTCCACATCTGCTTATTCTGTTTTCCAAGATCCAGTAATACCCTCCTGTATGCTCCTAGGTTCCTTTGCTGTTGAATTGAAGTAAGACATCTGAGGTTTGAAAAGAAAATAGTGGTAACTCTGCCGTGCATTCGCAGAATTTTACAAGTCCGGCCATATTTGCAGTTGGCTTGTAGTGACATAGATATTGAGTTTGTCAACCAATTAACACTCCTGTGTACCATTGTTACACAGTTGCAAATGAGTAAAGTTAGATCATCTTGGAATGTAATGATTTTTAGCCATAAGATTATTGAGATAAAGAGATAAAACAAAGAACATAATAATACAGTATCATCATAAGACATACAGAGACAAAATTCCTTGCTTCATCTTTATACTCATCACTGTAAGAGCCTCAAATATCACTTGTGAAAATTTCTTATTTGTATGGAATCCAAAGGTTCATTACCATATTCACAGAAGCCCATTATTAGACTTCGTCCTGAACCAATTATTTCCAGTTTACATCTTCACATTGTGTTCTTTGAATATTTATTTTAATGTCCTATCTTACAGGTGGTATTTTGATCAAAATTCTGTATGAATGTTTGATACTTCCCCTGCGTATTCTGTATCCCACATACACAGTGCGGTCCAAAAGTTCCTAAACTGAAATTTTTACCGCTTTTCTACCAACGTCATCTTCCGGACCGAGGTTGAAATACGTAGTAGAGACCCTTTTGACAAGGGTGCGAAGTGGCGTTAGTGTAGTGGCAAGGTGTTGTTAAGAAGGGTTGTCTCGTACGAGCTATTGTTGTTGCGCAGTGTCAAGGTCGTGAGATGGATGGCTGTAAAGCCAATATTTCGGCTTCAAAGACTGTGGAGCTGATTCAGAAGGCTTACAGTGATGCAGCAGTAAGCCGAACAACAATTTTTGAGTGGCACAAACAGTTTCGAGAGGGTAGGGAGTCAGTGAAGGACGATGAACGCTGTGGCCGGCCCACAACAAGTTGAACTGATAACAACATCGCTGAAGTCGCCAAAATGGTTCAAGAAGATCGAAAAGTGATGTCTCGGTTAATAGCAGACACAATTGGCATCCTGAAAACAGTGGTTCTACGGATTTTAAGCGAAGATTTGCGCGAAAACTGTGCGCCAGATTTGTCCCGCATGCCTTGACGCGAGAGCAACGCCCCGGCTCATTCGGCAGCAATGATTCGACAGTTTCTAGTGCAAAAACAAGTCGCGACGTTACAACACCCCCCCATACTCACCAGATTTGGCTCCTGCAGACTATTTTCTGTTCCCAAAGGTGAAGTTGCAGCTAAAGGGTGCAAGATTTGACACAATTAAGGCGATTCAGAAAGCAGTGACCGACAAGCTACAAGCAATTCCCGCAGAAGACTTTTCCAATGCCATGAAGAAGTTGGAAACACGTCCTAACCAGTGCATTGCATCAAATGGATCCTATTTTGAGTAAATAAACCGGAAAAAAATATCTGCCTTTTTTTTTTTAATTCTTATTGCCTTAGTCCGGAAACTTTTGGACTGCACTGTGTATGCCCTTGATTTAATTGCCCTAACAACAGTGTTGTGTGAAGCCTACAAATTATAAAGCTCTTTATTATGTAATTATTTCCATTCCTTTTCTTTTCTGTCTTTTCTAGTTTTAAGTGTATTCTGCAGTACTTTCTTCACAGTGAGAAACAAAATCCTACAGTCATATAAAACAAGTAAAATTGTGACTAGGACTAGGATAATGTTTATGTAATATGTAGGATTGAAGTTCCTAAAGTATCAATTTTACTCTGCTGTTAATATTTTTCTTCCTTTGTAATAAATGATGTGTTCTGACTGGATTGATACATTTTTTCAGGAACGTGAATACTTGCGTCATGTAGTAGCTCGCATTGCCAACCTCCAACCTGATCTGGTTCTCGTACATCGCAATGTGTCTCGATTGGCACAGGAGTTTTTGTTGGCCCTGCGAGTAACATTGGTGCTTAACGTTAAAGCAAGTGTTCTGGAGCGTGTTGCTCGATGTACTCAGGCAGACATTGTCACTTCAGTTGATGCTCATATAGGTCGTCCACTGTTGGGAACTTGCAAGCGATTCTACCTCAAAACATTTCAGAATGAGAAAGGTACATATTTGAAGTTTTACATTTACACTTTTGTTAGGACTTATGTTTAATTTTGGTGTATACGTCCTATCATTTATTTCAGAATTTTTTGTATTCCTGTCTCCTGTCTAAACATATAAACAATAAAATACTCAAAATGGTAATTTTTCCTGTTGTTTTGTATGGTCTCTCACCCTAAGGGAAGGGAAAAGAAAGCTAAGGGTATTTGAAAATGGTTTTGAGGGGAATGTTTGGGCCTACCCACATAAAACAGAATAGATACTAAAAGGGAGAAAATAACTATTGGCTTCAGAAAATTATTATGTTATGAGGAGGATGAGATAGCATTCACAGGAAAAATGAGAAATGCATACAAAATTTTAGTGAGAAACCCTGAAGGGAAGAGACCACTTGCAAGACTTACGTGTAGATATGAAGATAGTATTAGAATGGAATATGGTATGAAGATGTGGACAGGATTTGTCTGGTTCAGGATAACATCCAGTAGTAGGCTATAGTGAACATGCTAATGAATCTGGGGAATTTCTCAGCTGCTGAAGTTACTGTTAATTTATCAAGAAGGATTCATTCTGCTGTATGGAAATAGTGCTTCTTAGATATCACATAACCATGTAGACATTCATTGTGTTCCATTTCCAGTTACATTAATGCCAGATTCATGTTCTGGGTATGGATTACATGTTTGCTATGAATTGTCAGCTGAGCAACCCTGGTTAATGCAATGCAATTAATATTTGAATACTTTTGCGTGATATTTATTCCAGGTTCCAGTAAAACATTAATGTTTTTTGAAGGCTGTTCCTTGCAGCATCTTGGTTGTTCAGTATTGCTTCATGGTGCAACAAACAGTGAACTTACTAAATTGAAACGTGTGGTCAGTCATATAGTGTTTACTCAGTACAGTTGGAGACTTGAGAAATCATTTCTCATGGATGAATTTGCTATGCCTCCTAGCCCTCTGCATGACAGTTTTTTTGAGGAACCTATAACAAATGGTAGTTCTCAGGATGACCTTATTTCGTCTCCAAGTAAGGCCAAGTTGTGCCTTAAAAATGGCTCTGCAAAAGTATTATCAACTTGTGAAATATTGCATAAAAGTTGTGAAAATGTAGCCAAAGATTCGATGTTATATATCCATTTATTGTCACACGACAACAAAGAATCTGCTGACATAGCAGTTGTGAACAGAGAAAATGTTATAAATAATGTTGCTGATGTGCCTGTGTCATATGCGTTGCCTCGTAACACAGGAGACATAAATACCAAAGATGAGAATATTCAGTCATTAAGTAAAAGCAATGTCCTTTCAATTTCAAATGTGCAGTTAAATAAAAATGTACAAAGTGAAAATTCTTCTACAGCTGATAAAATGATACATTTATGTAATAAAGCAGAACACATTATAGCTAGTCAATGTGCAGATTGCAATAAAACATTACAGAATGAAAACAGGAAAAATGTTGACTTTGTTGTGAGTGATAATATGAATATCATGTATTCTTCAGCTTTACCTAGTAAAAAGGATAAGTGCATTTGTGAACCTGTTCATAAGTTGAAAGGAGTTCAAGACAATGTTAAAGAGGTTCTAGTAAATGAAACTTATCGTGATAATTGTGATGCTAATAAAACACAACCACTTCGTATTGGGAACAAGGAGAAGTCTCTAAGTGAAGAAAAACGAATGAATGTTGAATCTGTGAGTGATTTTAGTGATCCACTACATTTGTACCTGAATCTAGAAGATGAAGTTTTTCATGCTGGTAACCAAAGTACCAGTTGTGGACAGTGGTTATCAGTTGCTGAATTACCACTCTCAAATAGGTTTCGTAAAGCTCTGGATGACACCATACTATCTTCTTCACCCTACCTGAAGGTGAGTTTCTTGTTTTCCTTAACTAATCCATAACTTGTCAAAGCTGTTTGCTGCAGAAATGGTTACAATCTGTAAAAATGGCAGTAATAATTTCCCAGTCATTTGATTACAACATATTCACAAATAAAAGTTTCCACATTTGACTTTATCCCTTTAACAGTAGCATACAACAAATAACTACAACTATACTGAAAATGTATAAAAAAAAGTTATTTTTAAGAACATCGTTACTTGTTATAATTTTCACAATACCAGTAAATGAAATGGACACAAATTTTTAACAAGTAGGAAATGGAAGTTTATTTTGTTATTATTGTTATTGATACAGCATATGGAAAGGTAAACAGTTCATAAAACCTTGCATGCCATGTAGTGTATTGGAAATATAGAACATGCATACAAACAAAACTTATACCAGTCCAGAACCCCTGTAACTGTTGGAATTAAAAATTTGAACTGGCCAGCAAATCACGTGTGAAAGATCCCATGTTAGCAAGTCATGTGCGGAGGTTCCCACGCTAGCAAGGGATCTGGAAGTTAGGTCAAGAACACGTGCAGTACTCGAGTGGAGACGGCGGGCTTTCAGCCAGTAAACAAAACTTTTGTACCGGTTATGGGAAGTTTTGTATGAGAGGATCCAAATTTCAAAAGTATTCTATGTTTTTCTTTCATTTGTTGTTCCTAATTTGTTTATTTATAAAAAAAATTACCACATCAACCCTGAGGTAATCCTTGTTCCCACTGACTCTAGTTCAGGATATAACTATCTCTTGCCGCAGAAACAATGAAGGTGACAGGCAGTGAGATAGAATAGTATAATTATAAAAGGTTTACACTTTTGTTTGTATGCATGTTTTATAAACAGTTCAATAATACAGGTCTGTTTTTCTGAGTTGAGTATTGATCATTCAAGAACAGAATCTCGGTTGGCTCAGAATAAATTTTTCCCCATTTGTTGTTTTCAGTAACTACATGCTTTAAAACCATGTATGATAATGATTCACCTGATTATTTGGACTGGAGGTTTAAATCCTGCATTTTTGTGTTTGTTGTCCTTTGTAAGTAGAGGCCTTTTGATGGGCCAGTCTCTTATCCAAGGAGCCTCAAAATGTGTAAAACTGGAAGATATAAAAGTTCTGACTCAAAATAGATCAGAGGGCTGAATATATGATATATGAGGAAAAAGAAGAAGAGGGATGAAAGACTGGAAACTTAAGTGGCCCGAGTTAACTATTGAACAGTTCTAGTTTGTTTTTTCTTACAGTTACATAATTGCTACAGCCATGACAGTGTTGCTTGTAGTCTGATGGGATTACAGTAATGCCAGGCACTAAGCTGCCAATTGGCAGTGGTTTTCTTAATTTCTTTAAATAACTCACTAGTCACAAACTCACTGACCTCTAGCACTAATACTGTGCTTTAAGATACAATTTTGATGCTATATGTAATGGCATAACAATAGCTTATACATCCAGTATAGTTTGAAGAATCTTCAAGTATTGCTTAGTCTGACTTGTACTGTGAATAGAGGTGGTATCCATTGCACATTGATTTATCCTGTCATCTGTAGGAATGTAACAGAATTAATTTCTGTTGAAAATTGGTGAGTGATAATGGAACAATCAAATTTTGTTATGGTATGGTAAGATTAAATAGGCTTAGCCAAACTATTACATGAAGCTTCTAAATATGCATGCACACTATTAATTGCAGGAAACTATTAAACATCTGAATTAATATAAAACTTTTCTGAAAATCAGTTTACAGTGCCATACTTGGAAACAGAACCTGGGCGGAATTGTGTTCTGAGGAAATTCTTCCCAGATGAGATCTTTTGGTCTGCACAGTTTGGTACACTAGCAGGGGGTGGCAGCAGCAGCAGTGCAAGGGCGATTGCCAGTGGTGAAGTAAATGATGTATTATCTCAAGAAGGCGATTCCAAGTTTAAGGAAATTAAGGTGGGTGTTGTGATCTTTTCTTGACCAGAGGAGTGACAAAAGATGATTGATAACTAATTTGTGAAAAGAAACAATTTTCTTCACAATGAAAATGTTTATGATTCACTTTTTAGGAGATAATCAAATTCCTCCCATTTCTGTACCTGCCAATATTTGGGTTTATAGCAGTCCCCAGAGGCCTTTCTTATGTAAGTGATATGGAGAGTATCATGTAACTCAGAACCAATTTACTATCATTTTATTGCAATGTTGTATGTTGTGCTTAACAAATTTTCCAGTAGCTTACTCGCTACTGATATGGTGTGCTGTTATAAGAGTTTTCACATTAAATGGGGTGCACTGTGTAATAAAACAGCTAGATGGCATTAATAGTTTGTTCAGTATTGTTACACCCAGCTACATAATATGGCATCTGAGAGTTAACAGTGAGAAAGTTATCTCAACAATGTAAGATTTGAGGTTTTCACAGCGGTGAGTATGAAGCTTTCTGTCTTCTGGGTTGTTGCTGTGTGTAGTCTGGTCGATGGTTACCAATATTTCAGAGTTCATACTGGCTCTGTCATCAGGGCCCTGATGACGGAGGCAGTATGACCACTGAAACATCGACCAGACTACACAGCGCAATAACCCAGAAGACAGTAAGCTTCTTGTCTCAACAAATTGTTATTTGTATGTATTTATATACTTAATGAAAGAATGTTTATTTTACTGGTAGAAACAAATGTTCTGGGTTGTTTACAGCTTAGACCCCAGCATCCATTTGTTTCTGCAAAGCTTACAAGTACTGTTGAAAGTTGTGAAGTTCAGACTCTGCTGGCACATTTCCGAGCATGTGGAGGTCGAGTTACCTCAACCCCAACTTCTCCTGAGCTGTTGCATTCAACTAAGGCACCCACACAAGGCTGTAGCACAACAGGAGATGCAGTAAATACATCAGCAGTTAGCAAACAAAGTTCTTGGCCTGATGCACTGGATCCTGCAAATCATCAGCGTCTAGCTGTGCTCTTCTGCAGCTATTCTCATGAATCTCAAAATGCCCCGGCATTTTGTGTTAGTCCTTGGTAAATGTTTTTAAATATTATATACCCTTTGTTAATTCATGTATTTTAATTCCATGTGTAGTGGTATAATTTTATATGGCATGTCATAGTAAATGAATATGAGATTCTTGATGTGGATGTGCATGTATTGTCTAATCTTGGTAAATATCATTTCCTTTGTACATTACAGGCATCTTCCCCCCCCCCCCCCCCCCCCCGAGGAAAAGCATGGTCTGAATATTCTGTGTATATTACTAAACTTAGTACACATAGCCTGTTACATCTTTTAATGTTCATGGACTGTAGCTTCTAACAGTAGCTGGTGGACAAGATACCCGACTTTCCAGTAGTAATGAGGAAGGCAGACTTGCCTGTTCCCCTTTTAGTATTTTGTGATGTATTTTTGTTTCCTGTTTAGTTAAAGTGGGGTCTGTGCTAAATGCCAATAGACTGTTTTGTTATTTACACAATATGACCTATCTAAGACCTAAAAATCAAAGTACACGTGATTGTAAATTTACTTTGTTTCACATGAATATGAAATTTGGTTTCTCACTGTGAGGGATAAACATAGAAGCTGCTGTGTGTACCTTATAAGGGAGAAAGTAACGGGATGAAGAAATTTTCATAATAAAGAGCTCCGTAATATATGCTTTTACTAAATAGTTTCCTTCCTTCCTTCCTCCGTGGCTCTGTGGTCCTCTGAGGACCTTGGCCTCCCTATTTGTATTTTTATAATTATTTGTCAGATTCTCTTTGCAGTATCTCCACTATACATGTGAGTAGAATTCAGTTATTTTCTTTTTCCTTTCCAACAGGGTTGTATTCATGAATTTCTATGGACACAATGACATCCCCCTGGGAAGCTTCCTAGAGCGTTATTGTTTCCGTCCATCTTATGTTTGTCCTTCAGAATCATGTGAGACTCCAATGGTGCATCATGTTCGCCGATTTGTGCATGATATGGGCTGTGTTCACATAATTCTGAAGGAGCTGGAAAAGCAAATCCCAGACACTGAAGGAAATGACATTGTTATGTGGAGTTGGTGCAGTAAGTGTAGAATGGTGAGTTCTGAAATTAGAATATGTTTTTGAAGTATGGATGCCACATGTCTGGTAGTTCAGTTGATAAGTGTTAACTCATATTGAGTGTCACCATACAGGCTGGTGTAGAATTGTATCTGGGAGGTACCCAGTTCAGATCTTGGCCAAGTTATCTGTTGTCTGTCTGGATTCTGTTGATCTTCCTCAGTTTTTCCAGGCATGTGTTGGATATTATTTTCAAATAAGTTGTAACTGCAGCTTAAAAATCTGTAGAACATACTGTTTTTTTATATCACTTAAAGTTATCTTTCTCTGCTTTATTTCAATAATGACATAGGCTTGAGTACTTTGTACATCTGCCATTGATATCTAGAAAATTAATTTCTTGTTATGTGTTAACAAACCTAGAATGATTGTATGCATTGCCTTTTATAGATAATAATATTGTTTGTGTTATAACTTTGTAAAAGTGTTATGTATTGAAATAAGATAGTATAGATTACTTGCAGAAATTTTTTATCTTTTAACAAAGGACAGAAATTTGCTGTACCCGATGGAAGGAGAAGGTAAAGAAAGTTATTTAAATTCAAGGATAACTAACCCTATCCAAGTTCTGACCTGGACTATCTGAAACACAAGTTACATTTTATTTCTGTCTTGTGCATATGCATTTGTTTACATTTATTTTATAAAATGAGTGATACGAAGGTAAAGAGGTAGTATGCAGTGACACTTCACCGAGGACATTTACTGTGTGTTCCTCTTATTCATTGGACACTTAACTTCTCAGCCTGTTAAGAGTAGAGAGATTAACTTCTTGATATAGTTTTGTGATATTGATAGGTATCACCAGTTGTGCCAATGTCAGCAGATACTTGGTCATTGTCTTTTGCTAAGTACTTGGAGCTGCGTTTTCATGGAGGGATGTACCGAAGACGTGGGCAGGAAGGCACTGTGTGTTCACATTCCCTTCATCATGAACATTACCAGTATTTCGGAATGAGGAACATAGTTGCATCCTTCAAGTATGTATAAATGTTGCATTACAAGCCAATGAATAGTGGTAAAATTATCTTTGTAAGTTCCATCTTCAATCTATAACTTACTTAATATTATAATTTAAATTCTGTTTCTTCTTTTTATGCATTTTGTTTCCCACAGGATGCATGAAATAATATATAATGGGAAATTGTGTCTGTTGTCTACTCATTTGCATGCTACATTCCCAAGACTTTACACTAAATTCTGGTGAAATTTCATATCCTGGTTCAGTACTAAAAGTTACAATGAGAATTTCATGTTAATTTGTATCACTTCTCATAACCTTCAGTTTGCATGAATCCCTGATTGAATTTTCACTTGTTTTCTCAAAAACTGTTTATTATATAAACAATTTATATATACTCTGCAATATTTTGACAGACATTTGGAAGTGTTCATATGTTTCCTAAATGTGCAGAGTCGATAAGCTAAGAAATGCTCAGCAGTCATCAATCTGTTCACATAAGCTGTGCAAGAACTACTAGACTGTTTCATGGAAATAGAATATTATTTGCAATAGAAGCCTGTTGTGCCAAGGATATGAAGGAGAATATGTTGAAAATAAAATATTTTGCCTAATGGAGTCTTCTCTTCATATATATACTGATATTTGCAGTAGAACACCAGCTTCTATGCAGTGGCTGGATCAGATTATGGCAGTCTTAGCATAACCTGTCATTTTGACAACGAAAAGGTTAACTGAAAAATTGATATTTAGATTGGCTGTTCAGACAATAGATAGTTATATCAAGTTACAGGCCTTGCAGTAATCAGGGCCTGTTATGTATTGTTGCAGGTACACCAGTATTACATTATGGGAGGTGTCATTGCCTCCACCTGTCATTGCTACATATTATGACCCACAGCAGCAGACTAATGTTATAGAAGAAATCAAATTCCTTGCATTGAAAGGATATGAAGTGTACAGCTGCATCCTAGAAAAAATTTGCTTTTTTGGAACTGATTTGGATGGTGAGAATATAATACTATTTATAATTTGCCTTTGGTCTCTTGACTCTTGGAGAAACCTGATGTTGTAAATTTCTTGTTTACATCATTTGTCAGGATTCCACTGACTGAGATACTGGTAATTCTTGAAAAACAGTGTTGTTACTATTATTTCCACCATGTGTTGAATTAAGTTTAAATTTTCTATTTCTTCATGGCCAAGAAATCGGATAAAGAAAAGCTATTAACATTCTTCATGAAGCAAGAATTGGGCAGGTAGGAAGGTGATGGATAAAGTTTTGCAGTGTGGGTTCTTGTGGTATGGATGTTGAAAAAATTCTTTGTAAATAGTATTGTCTTTATACCATTTCAAGTAATTCTTTTTTGTAGATTGTGGATAGAAATTTTCAGTTCTATGGCCCCTAATTATAGTTCAGAAAGTTCTATATTTATCTTTTTGTAATCTTTCTTTTGTTATTTTTGTTAGTTAGCTTCCAGATCCTATGGTTTGCAATCTGAATACTCTTTTGTGATTTTTAGGGATAGGATTTATGAAGCAGCAGTTGCAGAAAGAACAAGTACATTTTAAGTCATGTATTGAGGAGATTCAATTGAAACTTACTTCACCTACACTTGAAGCTAAGAAACTGGAAGGACAGATTGCAGAAAAAGGTAAACTGTTGTAAGAATCCACAGACTAAGTATGTTGTTGGTAATTGTACCTGTGAAGCCCTTTGAATCACAGACTGCATACTGCAGCATAAAAGCATCTATCTGTTTTGACAGTTCTGTTTTATGGGTGCACTAATATTTAGGCCACACCACTTGTTGAATGATTCACTATTGAGGTATGAACGTTTCTTCTTTCATTATTGTGTAAAGTGAATTCATTGGTTTAGAGTTGATTGGCTGTATGCTTTTTAAAGGATCCAATAAATTAAACTTTAAGAATTTAACATAAAACTAAACTAACATGGATAAAATGGTGGCATTTGGCATTTATTCTGCATTTATAGTCATTACTTGGTCTCTTGTGGGTAGGCAGTGGCATTTGTGTTTCAAATGTAATCATTTTACCATTAATTTTTGGTAGTCAGAGCATTTTGAAAGTGAGGTTGGCTTTAAGATAGAAATTTTGTAATGTATTTTGTGGAGAGTGGCATGTGAAAAATACATTTACTTTTGGTGATGTTAATGGACAAATTGTGGAACTGTGTGATTTTGGATATTTGATTTTGTTTTTTCACTGTCATGTTGGAAGTAGAAAACCATTCTGTAATAGAGTAAGATTTCTAAATGTTGCCCAAAACTTGTCACCATTCCCTTATATCACCTCTATATCCATAAGATTCTTCTCATTATGTTTCTTTGTAATTACCTAACTCACATATGCTTTGTATTTATATTGTTTCAGATGTACAGCAATTAATGTGGCGCATTGAGGACTCTGTAGTGCAGCTTAAACGTCTTATAGCAGATGTTGTTGTTACTTGGAATGCTAAAATTCAGGACCTTGTGCTGATCTCCAAAAAGAGAGATGAGAAGCATCGGAGAAATTATGGAGGAAAACCATCAGCTCCTACTACCAGCCACTCTCTTGAGTATGACAGGGTAAGTTTTAAAGATATAACAAATGTAAATAAGCACTCATAATAACAGGTAAGAATATTTGTGTGTCTGTAATAGGTAAGCAAGTGATGCCTGTTTTACTACAGAAGTTTATAGCATGTACAACTTTGACTTCTGGGGATGGACTGCATCTAATGTTCAGAATTATCCAACATTCTGGCAAACATTGCAGTTGCTATCTTCAGAGGAATATATAATGAAGATTTCTGTCTTCTGGGTTATTGCGCTGTGTAGTCTGGTCGATGTTAACCAACGTTTCAGAGGTCATACTGCCTCCGTCATCGCCCTGATGACGGAGGCAGTATGACCTCTGAAACGTTGGTTAACATGGACCAGACTACACAGTGCAATAACCCAGAAGACAGAAATCTTCATACTCACCGCTGTGAGAACCTCAAGTCTTACGAATATATAATGGTTGGGATTTTTTGTTTGCCTTATATAAAGCAGGTGGTAGGTGTTGAGTTGGATTTGATGGTGTTGGTTTGTAGAGCAGAAGAGTAGGCTGTTCTCCAATTGGATAGAATTCAAGAAGTGAATTGGATAGCAGCTGCCTTTGTGTCCACATGTTACATCTGCAAAAGTACTGAACACATTTCATGAAATTTAATGTTTGAGGTCTTACACAGCAAGCTGTTAGACAAATTTACTATAATTTTGAATGTCAGTACAATATAACCCTTGCTTAATTTACGTAAAACTCAAAATGAACATATTTCTGGTTTTGCTATTGGGTCAGACATACCTTGACTTTTGATATATTTCAGTACATACGTTTTTTGCCAGTAATACTGTCATATTTTTCCACTATAGGTATCCAGTAGCAGTACCCAATTGTTGGATGATGTTGTAGTGGAGATGGCTTCAGGTGTCACCTCGGCAGCACAATGGGAGGACACTAGCAGCTGCTCTGAAGGTCATGAGGACACAAGTCCATCTTCTCCAGAACCTGTAAGTGGTGCTTCAGGGAAACTTTGCACAACATAAGTTCTTATTTCCTGTCTACAAAATGGTGTGAGGAGGAAATACAAAATGTAGGACTTGCTTTGACAATCTATCAGATTGAATGTATGGTTTCCTATGTTTTGTATTTTCTGACTTAAACATTTAAGCATGATTATTTCTACGTAAGTTTTAAATTAATGTCATGTCTGTTTTGGCTAATACATAATCATATTACTCTTCGTTATGTTTGTAGATGGGTGGTGTTGCCGAGCTGCTGGATGCAGATGAGAGTTTGAGCTCAGGTCAGGGCCTTGATACCAGCTCCAGTGCCCTGGCAGACAGCATTAATGCTACAGATTCTCACCTGTCAGCGTTTCAACAAGATGCAGTTAGTAGTGAGTATTGTTTGTATTCAGTACATTATTTACCTATGCTTTGTTGTGTAATATATTCACAGTTTATCAGATCTAAAACTTCTTGACGATGGTGAAGAGTCAATTGAATAAAAATTTTCTTGGATATTATCCATCGTCTAGTAAATATAAATCGTAAAACGACGTTTTGGAGATAGGGATTAGCTCTATCTAGTGGGCCCAACTGTGTAGGAACCTGAAGACGGAGATAGAGTCCCATCTCTGAAACGTCGTTTTACGTTTTATATTTACTAGACGATGGATAATATCCAAGAAAATTTTTATTCAATTGACATATTCACAGTTGTTTGTGCATCATCTAAAGTAATGGTTTAAAAGATTTTTAACACTTTCAGTGCCAACCTACAAATATCCAGACATCTGGGGAAGAACTGCAAGTATCCAGTAAATGAATAAAAATTGTCCACAGCAGTCGGTTTAATTTTTTAAAATTTTTGTTCAAGGTTGAATTTGTAAAATTTTTAAATTATTCAGAAATGCTCATTTACTGATGCCATAAACTTTGCCTCCATCAACAGAGGAGAATTTGTATATGTAGCATTAAAAAATGGCAGACATTTTGGATATGGAGGCTTGATCTCACTGAGAAAAGTACTTTACTTTGTAGATGCACACATGCGCACACTGGCTCACACACACACACACACATCTACCTTTGTTCTGTCAGGCAAAATGATTTATGCGTTTGCAGTTCTGTTTGTTTTTGATAGGTCTCCATCTTGTATGTTGATCATGAAACCAACTCCCTGGTCTGAATGTTACTGTGGTTTACTTCAGTCCCTCTGCACAAACATCAGGGTAGTACCTTGAAACAGGCCACAGCTACTTTCTCTCCATTCCTTTAAGTTCCTAAAATGTGGTTGACATCTGATATTATTTGATACTGAATAACCACTGAATTTCATAGTGTTGTTAATTCAATCCATCCACTACTGTCTCACCATTAATCTAATGAATATTGGAACTAAAAGTTTAATGGTAGGCCTTATAAGCAGTTTTATAGACTATAGTACCCTGTAACTGGATCTATGGAAATTATTACAAAATTTCTCCGTGTTTCATATTTATGTATTTACATTTATAAGTCAGTGTACAATATAGTTTTAAACAAAGAAAATGTGTCATATCTGAAAGTTGAAAAGCATGCAAATATTTCAGGATTTTTTTTGGCTTAAATCAACTTCTTGTAATTGAGTGAGGAAACAAATTAGGAAACTTATGCATAGCATAATGAATAGATTAACAAACTGGGAATTACTTTGGCTGCTTTCACATAGGGAGATGTAATTATATTGCAGTGCTGTGTTGGAGAACAGAAGCAATTTTGATTTTATACATGTAGCTCCATTGAGTGTAGTCAGTCTGTAAGACATAATATTGAACAGTTTGTTGGTCTATGAACAGGAATAATATTGAATACCCTGTGGAATTGTGTTACAAATTTCTTCTGTCTCAGATCAAGACAGCATTTCCGTTCAGAATCCAGAGGTGGTGCTAGGGTCCCAAAGTCAGACTGTTGCCTCTGGATTATCTCGTGGGCATGTGAGGTCATATTCTGATGTAACACCAACTGTAGTTGATGAACAGGATTCAAGGCAAGCACAGCACACAGACAAGAAGAGTGTGAAGACAATCCTGTCACACCTCCTGCCAACATCCACTGGTATGGCACCAGTACAGGTATGTTTGCATGTGTTTGGCTTTCTTACAAGCTTTTTTAAGTGTCAGTGATGATACTGAAAGTAATATTTGTGAATTGTACCCTCTGTAACATTTTTTTTCAACCAATGATTTAAAGACCGTTTCTAATCCTTACATTGAAATTTGTGTTAACATTACATATATTTTACCACTGCTGGAAAAATTATTTTATGAATAGCAACCTTTCTATTTTATATTAAACATTACTACTTCATATACAGGCTTTATTAGATAATGAATTTATAACAAATTATTTAATATGTTTGTTTATTATTATTAATTATTACTATTCAGTGGTGTTATATATGAAATTTGTTTGATTTTAATGTCACTTGAAAGTGCTACTTTTTAAATATTTTTAGATATGTTAATAATATTAGATTTGTAGTCTGTTATATGTGCTGTACAGTTTATGGTTGACAGAGTAGAGTTTCGTGGAAAAGCCACTACTGTTTCGTTTCAAATTAAGTGTGGAGTAATATTGTCTGTCACATTTTGGTCTATGCTGATATTTCCTTGTGGAATGAAGTGAATAGTGTGAAAATGCCTTATGGATAGATCATGTCTTTGTAACTTATAAATTACTTTAATTTAATGAGATAAATTACAGTCCATGAATTTTTATACAATATAAGACTCCTTTTTATATAGAGCCTAATATAAAAAATGTGCATAGTGAAGGACATGAAAGAATGACAAAAGTAATTATATGTTCAGATGTTAAATGATTCTTGAAGGATTGTTGGTGAAGAGGTAATATGCTGATTTAGCCATGTGAATACCTGACTTGCATTGGTCACAAACGTCAAACAATCTTAAAGAATCGGATGTTATATTACATGTGTTTTGAGGTAAGATTTTTTCAGAAACCTGGGAATTGTAATTTTTATTTTATAAAAACCACATGAGGCATCTTTCTTCTCCTATCAGTTTATGTTATTACTTTCAGAGCCCATTGAGTCCACAGGAACACCACTTTTTTCCAACTGGATGTTCTGTCCCTGTTATTGTGTATGAAAATGAGCCATCATCCATCATTGCTTATGCCCTGAGCTCTCAGGAGTACCAACGTAGTTTGGATGATATACTCGCAAAGAGGCTGACTACTTATGAACAGACATCACCCAGGTACTTAATTGTCATTTTGGAAATTAGAAAAAGTTCTGTACCCTTTGTTTTTTGTTGATTGTTATATAACTTATATGGTTCTAACTTATGTTCTTGATTAAAATGACTTTATTGGGGAGATGAATATTGGTTGTCAGATGTTCCCCACTTACATAAATATAATGAAAATTCCTGTCTTTAGGGTGGGCCAGCCAACATTTTTATGTTTCTTATTATTTTGTTAAAAACTGTTATTCCATCTACTTTTAACATTTCTGAAGATATATTAAAATAATAACTTTTATACTTGATTTATGGGTGTGAAATATGATCTCTTACCACAATATGACAGAAGGTGGTGGTGAATGCATTTAAAGGTTTGTTGTCATGGATGAATACAACAAGTAGTATATATATTTATGTCTATACAGTATATTCTTAAACACTTCCTTTGATGACCCATACAGTTTTGATGCATATACGAGTAGTTTGTATGCTAAGAGATACCACCATCTGATTATATGAGCCTACAAGAACTACTGTGGTTTACTGTCCTGAAAACTGAAAGTCAAGATTGAATTTTTTAAGCCAAGTGTAAGCTGCTTGCATTGTCTTTTTGAAATTTCTTCCTAAATGTTTGTATCTTTATTCTGCTTTCTGATTTTGCAAGTTAATGATGGAAGAAAGGTGCAAGTGACCAGTGTACCAGTGTTTCAGAGTATGATGATTTGAGAAATTATTTCCCTGTGCTTGTAATCTTTCTGGGAAAGATTTGTAAGTTATAAATAGAACAGTAGGGCATGGTTAACATTTTTTGGGCAGCCCAGTGCACAAGAGGAAATCAGGTCAATCTCAGGTGGAACGAGAGATCAGTGGTTGTGCAGAACCAGTGCAGTTGTCTGAATCTCGTCGTTCTGGAGTTTTGTCCTTCCTTCGAGGTTCCAACACTGCTAAGTAAGTTGTGGTGAGCGTGTATTTGGCTGGTAGAATTGTAGTGTTTTCTTTTTGTAGTTGTCAAAAATGTTTCACAAAATGCATGCTGGTGTCCTCCATGAGAGCCTTGTTCTAGAATGATATGGTCCTGATATATTAGTCCATATTCCCATTGTCTTAATAACATAAGTTTTTGTTTTTACATACTTTTCTAGTGGCATTACATTTTTGGTTGGGCTAGTTTTATCGTCTTCTTCTTCTTCTTTTTTTTTGCATTCTTTGCACAGGTGAATGAATGTGGAGGCTGTGGCCATTGTCTGTTTGCATGTTTTATTTCTGAAACTGCTGAACAGGTTCAATCAGATTTAGTATTGGCAATCTACACTTTTACCACTTGTAATTAGATGGTTGCTAATGCTCAGACTCTTATGTCATCCATTTGTCTTCTCGTGTTCATGTAATACAAATTCATGCCTCATTTCATTTTGGAGATGGCTTGATACTGAAGTAAAATATTTATATTTTCTATAGAGTTTGAGCCTGTAAGTTGCCGGGCAAAATTAGGTTCAATTCATTTAATTTAATCTTATATTGTGCATTTTATAGCAGAACTAACAATGTTTCATATACTTTATTGAAAAAAGTGTTTTGTTCTTCCTCAAATCCTTATGAATGCGTGTGTTTGATGTTTCCTGTCCATGAATTCTTTCAATTCAATTTACGGTTTATGTGTGTCACTGAATTTTTTGTTTCTTTCTTGTAATTTCCCAGAGAACATACTTAGATTATTGCTACTGGTATGCAACAGGCCTTGAAAATGTATTTAAGTAAAAGTTTTTAGTGAAAATTTGCATAACATTTTGAAAAATATATTGCCATATGTAGAGGTACTATATCTCCACTTAAACTATATTCTTTTTTGGCTGATATATTTAGTTCAATAATTTTTTAATCTTTAATATTTTGTAGCTATAGTATGGAACAACTCATTTGCTTTCTCTCTCTTCATGCCCATTCAGGACTGTATTCAACATATGGAGAATCCAGTGTAAAGAAGAGACTAATGATTTTATGGGCTATTGCTTCACTTGGGGTCACGTACATCAAAGCTTAATTTATGAATGAGGACATTGATTGGACATTATCATTGACTATGTTTCTGTCGTTTCATTATTGATATGATGTGTATTTATTTTTATTTTAATTTTTGTCCTTATGGCACTAGCATGTTTACTGTGTTATAATTACATACACTTCGTTTTGTCAGGTGCTCATATATGTTATTGTTATTTTTAATGCATTTGGTTTCTTTGTGCCTTGTCAATACTAGCTGTTTTAATAATTTCTTGAAATAATAATTCTTTCTCCTAGGTTTTTGTAAACATAAAGCTGTCTGATGATGATACACACGAACGTTCCATATTGTTAGGCAGTTACTGCCAAAATGTTTATTTCAGTAGTCATATTGATAAGAGTATTCATATTAAATTGTTGACAAATATTGCACACTAGCAAAAATTCTTTCACAACTCAAACAAGATTGGAAATTTGTACTCTTTGGATTACACTGGCATTGGTTTCTGTGTTCATTGCAGCACTAAGCAATGATTGGTGAATTTTATAATGCTAGAATAGTAATTGGACAATCACCGGAAGGGACATTATATCTGGGAATTATGTCTCTGACCTGATATCTGATGATAAGTGTGAATGTTGGTGGCAGCAGCTTGCCGCGATCTGGACTACTGGATGGGGTTCAGTACAGTACATCTCCTGCTGCTGATACTGTAGGGTCCCCAGCAAGTGAGTCAGATGACACAACTGGAGGCAACATGAAGGGGAGCAGAACGCAACCACACATTGAGGTAACACAACAAGCATGTCTATATCTATAGCTGAGTTGTTTATTTAATTACACTGTTTCAACTACATAAATTTTTCTATCAAATGAGAAATGGAACAGTTTATTATGAGTGGGTAATGGGAAATAGTATGTGCAGAAATTGCAATGGCCTTTAAGGTCTTTTGTTGGACAAAGTCTAACATTAGAAAAATCGACTTCCTGTGCAATGTTTTACTGAATCTGATAACTTTAATTCCGAGCAAAGTAGATTTGATCTGGCTCTGGTGGTGTGTCATATTCAAGTAAATGTGTGTTGAATAAGGTCCTCTGTTTGACACAGTCTGACATTTGGAAAATTATATTCCAGTTCGGTTTCAAAATTAAAATTGATTTGACGTAATGGGTTGCAGCATTTTTATTTTAATTTCTTAGCAGTAAGAATTTAAAAAAAAATTATATTATGTTAAAATATTAGGATTAATGCAATCTTTTTTGTATGTTTTCAGAAAATGACCACATTTATAAGTGAAAAAATTATCTTTCAGGTGCAGTTTTCTGACTCTAGCTCTAACTTCTTCTGTCGAGTGTTTTTTATAGAACAGTTTGCAGCCCTGAGGCTAATGGTTTTACCTACAGGAGAAGAAGGATTTGTGAGGTCACTGACAAGATGTGTTCAGTGGGCAGCACGTGGTGGAAAATCTGGCTCAACGTTTTGCAAAACAAGAGGTTTGTAGAAACATAAATCCGCTGTAGAAAATAAGACACTTTGATTCTTGCCTGTTATCCACATGGGAGTATTCTGTTTTCAAATATTCTTATTGAAAGCAAAAATTCTTAGTATTCATGACATTTTACTGAGACCGCCTTGCACAGAATCAAATTTAACTCTGTAATAATATGCATTTGTATTTGCCCATGTTTCAGATGATCGATTCATTTTGAAGGAAATGTCTCGTTTGGAGATGCAGTTGTTTCTGGAATTTGCCCCTAATTACTTCAATTATATTCAACGATGTCATACATCTCAACAACCTACTCTGTTAGGAAAGATTGTTGGTGTGTATAGGATTGTGTATCGAAACCTTACATCTAATGCAACACTTCGTTCAAATTTGCTTGTTATGGAGAACCTGTTTTACTCACGGTCAGTTACTCACAAGTTTGACCTGAAGGGATCTGTGCGCAATCGGTTGGTGAATCCAACTGCTGCTGACCGTGATGGAGAAATTGTTTTGCTGGATGAAAACCTGCTCAATAGTAAGTATAGAAACTGATAAACTGAATGTCATCATGCCATGTGGATGATGTAGTAAAGAAAAGGACAATGTTTATTAAAGCGGATGTAAAATAAATACATTATAGACTGGATTCAACTGGCTCAGGATAGAGTTATCCATTTGTGGTTTAAAAGAAAAATTGATAAATAAATATGCTTGTAATAAAAACTGCAAATCTCTGCATCTGGGACCAGTTGCAGTATAGTGACTTTTCAATAGAAAGTGGTGGAGGTTGAGGTAGGAAATTTAGTGATCTATATTATGAGACAGGTGATGGTCTTTAAAAGACTGAAAATGACACTGATGTATTTTTTTTTAGTGACATGTGATGATCCCTTGTACATCCTGCCACATTCGAAGACAGTTCTGACACAAGCAATCAGTAATGACACCCAGTTCTTGGCTTCACAATCGGTAATGGACTACTCACTGCTGGTAGGATTAGACAAGGAACGCAGGGAACTCGTTGTTGGTATTATTGGTACGTATTGTGCTCACTTAGTGATGTTATGTCTTATGTGCTTATATGCAGTCTGTTTATCTGAAATTTGAGCTTGATGCAGAATAACACTACAATTTATTTTCTTAAAAATTAAATAGTAAAAATAAAGTATGTATTTTTTTGACTACTTACATATTCACGTTACTATCCTTTCCCACCCATTTTAAAGGTGTTACAGACCTTGTTTTGATATTCATATTAAGACAAGTTAAAGGATTACTGAAAATATATCATTCAGAAGCAAATTTAACAGGATAAGTTTAAACACTATACCAGCAACTAAACTTGAAAATAAAGTAATAAAATTAATCATAGGATTTATGTGGATTATAGTGTTAATACTTTCATTACTTGAAAGTACAGAAATAAAGTTCTTCTGTCTTGGTATGTAGATTACATCCGTACATTTACTTGGGACAAAAAGCTAGAAACAATGGTGAAATCTTCAGGCATACTTGGTGGGCAAGGAAAATTGCCTACAGTGGTATCACCAGAACTTTATCGAGCAAGATTTATTGCAGCCATGCATCAGTATTTCCTGCCAGTGCCAGATCGTTGGACAGGGTTGGGCAAAGGCTTGGACTGCTAAATCAGGTAAAAACATCAGAAATACATGAAGCTCTACCTCTTAGTTTATGATTTCTGTATTATGAAACTATTCACTTGTGTGAAATGTGATCCTTTCAAAAACATGGTGTGCTTAACTAGAACAATGGAGAAGTACATATCTATAATATCAGGTGGCATTTATTTAATGTTGTTCCAAACAGGGCTGCCGTTACATGGTAGTATTTACTTATGCAACTATGTGGCATGTCACTGCGTTTCTGTGCGTTTCCATTTACAACTACACGTCATGCTTTTAATTAACACAGCATGTGTCTGTTTTATTTTAAAACCATCCATAAAAATACATCTTAAATCTACTGACCATTTAATAAAATCCATTTTCCCACAGCCTCATAGCGTTTCGTGCATATGTTTTTATACTACTACTTTGTTCATCTCAGTTAACTCATCCGTGTGGGTGAAGCAGAGTAAAGCGGCCCATCCATATACGAGTCTGACTTGCGAGTCTGGCTCGGCGAGCTTGACTCGTGAGCCGGGCTCGGATATATTTCACCACACATGCAGAGCAGACTCGGCTCGTGACACCCCACCAACAGACGAGTTTGGCTCAGTGGAACCCGAGCCGAGCGGGACTCGTATGTGGATGGGCCACTTAACATACTGAATAATGCAAGATATATTGCCTATACATTTTCATATCTTTTGAAAGTCTGAAGAGAAAGAGTGAGCTCTTGAAGTTATATATTTTGTTTGGGGTTTATTTTGTGGTACTGTTTGGGATTGCTCTCTGTACAAATTGTATCAAATGTAATCCAAATTGTTGGAGCCATTGTTGAAAAAATAGGTTTGTGTTCAAGCTTTCATGTATAGTTCTCCTAATTTGTGAGCTATTTGTTTGAGACTCATGTTTGTTAGGATGTGCACACTTCAAACAGTAAAAATTAAGGTGCAGTACATAAACAATATCCCAGAATGTTTTTTGTTCATAGTGGGAACCTTAAACGTGGTTATCCTCCAGAATGTTAAGTTTGATGTATGTATGTATGTATGTATGTTGTGATATTGTATGTTTGTGCATTCTTTGCACAAACTGAACACATGCAGGAGAGATTGTTTTCCATCTTTCAGCATGTTTGAACTTAAGAACCACTGTATGGATTTTGATGAAATTTGGTATGAACGTGTTGCCATTGGAGGCTACCCTTTGAAATCTATATTTAGCTTTAAATGTAACGGCGAATACAAATGAACTATTGGAGGTAGGCAGCTAATTGCAAAGATAGAACTTATCTGACTCAGAACTTGTTTCTACTGAGTATTTTGCATTTTATATTGTTAATCTAAAGTGTGTGGTACTTTTAGCTAGTAATAAATATGTGCAATAAATTTATTTAGTTCTTAAATATCAATATTAGGGAGAAAACTGTGAAGAAACATTCCGTATTATGCCCTTCGTTATTGTTTTGTCTGTTCCTGGATTGCACCATGTTATTTCTATAGTGCATCTAGTATTAAGAATGGACTGTGTTGTTTTGAGGGCTGCTACTTCCAAAGTCACTTTTGTTTTCTGTCTTCTATCAGCGACTTTTAATGTCGTTGAAGTTATTCTGAAAGATGTTGGTGAAAGCAGTGTAGTTTACTCACTTGTACAAAAGTCTGAAATTGCTGTAATATACTCATAACATGTTCCCATTTAGAATATCAAATTCCTATTCGCTAAATGTGACAGCTTTCTCAGTTACTGCCCGTTGTCTTCTTTGATGCACAAGGACAGTCCAGTATGCTCCAAAATTATGTAAACATTGTTAATTGTTCTGTACTACCGCAGTGAAGCAAAGTTTGTGTCGACTGAGAATGCTGTTTTTGTAAAGTGTAAGTGCATGAAGCACTGTAATGTTGTTGGTAGTAGTGTCATATGTCATATATACAAAGAATGCTTTGAAATTTGATTTTGGTCCTGGAATAAACATTGCTTTTGTACACTGTGCTTATTTTATACTTTAGCGTGTATTATTAAACGTTTGAGAAGAACATTAAGCAATCTGAATTCCACTCACAAAAAAATTAAGAGCAGACTGAATTTAGGGAATATTTGCTAAGATGCATTTCAGAATCTTTTAGCTCCCCATCTGCTGTCCAGAAATGCAAAGGTTAAAATATCTTCTTCTTCTATGGCTCTCCTGTCCGTATTCAGTCCATGGCCTCCTCAATTCTCCTCATCCATTCGGTCCTCTGTTAGGTCCATCTGTCCGAGGCTTTGATCGAGGTTTCAAAACATCTTCCTTTTTACGGTGCGAGGTTGTTAGCCTTGCGATCAACCCCCAACCTGGAAGACCAGGGTACCTGTCTTAGTCTGACCTCTCCCCCTCGACCAATCTGGGTAGGGAGGCCACTGAGGTACTCAAGCCCCACCACCATGACAAGGTGCAGGTACCATTACATGGGCGGTTAAAATATACAAAAATATTATTTTATCTGTTAGTAGGATTTGACGTCCTCACAGCGATGAATCCAAAGGTGGCTGCCTACTGGTTGTAGCGCCGTGTAGTCTGATAGAAGTTTACCAGTGTTTCAGAGGTCTTTGCTGCCTCCATCATAAGGGTGATGACTCAAGGCATTATAACCCACAGGACAGCCATCTGTTATTTTACCTGTTGTTTTCTTTGGGCGTGAAACCTTTTCTCCTTTGTTAAGGGAAGGGCACAAATTGAGAGTTAGGGGAATATTTGGATCAAAGAGGGATGAAGTGACAGGTGGCTAGAGAAAATTGCATAATGAGTAACTCCATAATTTTGATCTTCACCAAATATTATTAGGGTGTTGAAATCAAGGAGGATGGGATGGTTTGGACATATAGCTTGTAAGTTGAATTTCAGGGAAATTTGGTTTGGAGGTGTTTGGACTTATCTGGCTGAGGACAAGGACTACTGGCAGACTCTTATGAACATGACAATGAACCTTCAGGTGCCATAAAAGGTGGGACATTTTTTGACTAGTTGATTATGCTGTTAACTTCTCAAAAAGGATAGTGGAATTAGTGAGTTAGTTATTTTGTGTTTTATTAAATCTTGTCTTAAACAGAATGACCACTGACTAGCATGTTTACACTTAATGACCAGTTATTTAAATTTGATTAAAGTCTGCCAGTATTTATAGACATAAATGATCGTTGTTATAAAAAAGTACCAGAGAAGTTCGTGTGTGTTCACCATGTTTCACTTCCGATACTAGTGAAGTGAATTATTCTGATTGAATTTTGTATTCGGGCTGTATAACAAAAGTTTAATTCCAGTTCGCGTCTATCATGTCTGACTGGTCCTTTAGTGCACTTTGAACTGTTCCCCAACAAACTTATAATCTTAAAACATCCGTATACTATACACATATACGTATCGTAATGATTTATAAATGAGAGTATGAGGTAATTCACTATCGTGTACGCCGTAGATGTAGAAAAAAACTTGCTAAAACAATTTTATTGCACACCACGTTCTAGGCTAACCCACTATTTAATATAAATAGTGCTAGTGCAGGCAGGTTGATGGCCGAATCCGTGCGGGCGGACCAATCTCGAATAGAGGTTAAGTACGGGTGCTAATCATTCTTTTGTTTCTGAACGAAATAGTTTCGATGTATGGCTCATAAGAAGCGGCTAGGCAAACGTCTAATTATTTCATTTGCCAAACTATGTGCTATACTAGCAAGTGGGCTACAAAATAAGATACTAAACAGTATATTGCCGTCTTATAGAAATAATAATTGCACTGGCTGCATTTTTCACTAAAGCCACTGTCGCGAAATGCGTGGGTTTTGACTAGCATTGCTTATTTACTAAACTGTCATTAGTGCAGCGCGCTCAGTGAGACGCGTGACGAAGGGAAGGGAAGTTTGTATGTATCGGTTCGGGATATCGTTGTGAATAAGTAATTAAATAATTTGTGTAGTGTGTGAATCGTTTGTGATTATCTTCTATCGTAATTTATCTTGATGGTTATTTTTTGGTGTTATTAGTCGTGACGAGATAATTGAACAGTCCTGTACAATTATTGAAAGTGCTTTCTTAAAGGATATGCGGAGAAAAACGTGGACTTCGACCTGACGTGTCGGACATACAACAGTCTTTCAATAAAAGTTCAGGTAAGGCCAAAAGTCGCATTTTTAAGCAGAAATATTATTTTGAATTTCCCTGGTTTTGTGATTGCTTCGTACCCTGCATTTTGTATATCGTGTTTGGTGGGAAGCAAAAAGGGACTAAATGTATCTGGCATTTAATATCTGTCTCGAGGGGCATTAAAACACGAATCGTTCACAAATAATGCAACTGCCTTTACTCAAAGCGAGCATGGACACCCACTTTGACACAGCACAGGCTTAACAGTATTATGATAATTGATAACTAATGATATGCACATGCCTTCAAGCATGGGTGGCTGTGTTATTTTGTAGCGTGTTTGAGCCTGCATTTCGTAAGGTCTGACTGGCTTTGTTTCTTAATTAGGTGCACCATTACGTGATCATTCAAACCGTGTATATTTAAAACCATCCAAAATGAGCTGAGCTGCATGATTTCTAGGTATGTAGTCTAGGCATATTTTATTAAAGAAATTGACAATGCAGATAACCGTACATTTTTTCAGCTGGACTAAGGAACAGTATTCTGATAGGAGTAAGTTAAGAAGAGTGACGGAATTTAATGGCGTTGATGCAGATTGTCGTTGATTTAACTTTGATGGACGCCATTCAACACGCATCCTGTAGGAACATCGCCGTTTAACCACTGATGTTCCTGCCTGCGGTTGTCCGCGGCTGCTACGTCAGTTGTTTCCTGGTGTGGCATTAGAAAGTGTGTATTACTGAAGAACCAGGTTTTGTTATTGAATAAGTTCAGCCATAAACATAACGTAGTTTCACGATTTATAATTCTTGTTATTTATTCTGGCAGTTGTGCTTTTTCTAGTTATGCAATGGTTGGCCCAGCTTATCAGATACTGTTTCAACTCTTAATGTACTTTTGCATTGTGAACTTAGATTTCAAATAAACTATTTGTATCTGATAAGCTCCAATATGAAGACGAATAGAGACGCGGCCAGTCCATATCCTAGCAAATAGAATGAACCCTGTAAAACATAAGCAAAAGTGTGTTAGCAAGTACATCAAAGAGAAATTAACTTAGTATGAAAGAATACTGGGAAGAGATTACATGATATATTTCCATGTAACGCAGAGAAGAATACTAGTTATCAAACTAGAAATGTAAATTTATATTTGTACCACTTATTTGATACACACCTTGGGTAAGTCGCTACACGCAAATAACATTGCCTTATTTTTGGTGACATAATTATGATTCGTGAGCTATTTTTATAATAGGTATCCAATTAACAAACTGGAGCACAGGCACTTTTGAGAAATTCATCGTCTGCATTTTGGGGTATGAATACAAACAATTAGAATCGCTTCTTTTTCTGGACAGGAAAAGGCGACATTTAAAATCACACTATCTTAACTTCTGTTAATGTAGACAGTATGTTCCTTTTTTTGTTACCACAATGCTTTCTTACACGAAAACGACAAACCAAAGATGCTAATATGCGGGTTGATACAAGAAAACAAATTAGAGACTAAGTTTGTCGGTACTGACCGTCACATGCCGAAGCAAAAGTTGTGTAGGGCCAGGATCCGCCTCTTTTCGGCTGTTTATGACGGAGAGCTGACGTCTTGTAGACATGTACCTTCGCACAGTGAGGTCCTCCCAATATAAGACCAGTCCCGTATCTCTCACCTTATAAACTATCGAGTTGATGATGCCCATGTAGGGAGAGCCTTTGCGCAGCATGAAGACACAGTTTCCGTACACATAGTCCTCCTTCATAACCCGCAAGTTCTGCATCGTGTCTTCATTGATGAAGGGTGGAAGGAAAAAGTGACCTGAAAATTTATTCACGTAATTATACCTTTTGTTACATCTCACATTTCAAGCTGGAGCTGAGAAATTCTTCGAATTAAGCAGACAGTCTTTGCTCAATGGAAGATAGAAAAAAGTCTCTTACGGACAAATACAAGGAAATAACGAATGAATGGAATTACGACGCCAACGGGACGCTTACATCATTTTTAGTTTGGGGCTTAGAAAATTTTAAGCGTTTGGTTTTTGTTGCAGAGTTGATATCAAATGAGCACACATTTCTATCCAAGCCAACATTACTTTAATTGAGGTCTCTAATCATTGTATTGAATTTTGCAAATTAAATTTATACAAAAAATGGATTAAAGGTAAGAAACTTAAGAGCTATCCGAAGACAGGGAGGTTATATCAGAATAACGATCAATAGTATATAGGGGCTTCGTTTACATACTTTGTTTGACGAAACCAGAATTACAACAAAACTATTTAGACGTTGCAGAATTAAAGTACTTTAAACTATGGATAACTTTAGAATAATAGCTATGCCCTAAATGAGCGACAGACAGAAGTGGGATGTGTAACCTGAAGCATCTCGATTGTACCAGATGTTACGTTGGACAGACATTAAGTACCTTTTCGTAAAGGAAAATACAGTAATCAAATGCAGGTTGTCTGTAATAGTATTGAAAAATTAGGTTAATTGCAACACATTCTGCAAATGGTGGAATTGCACTGAACTGTAGAACTAAAATGCAAATGAAAACTGTAGAAAATTGCGTTGATATTGAGCAATGAAATCCTTTGGGATGGAAGTTGTTATGGTGATGGGATCGGATCAGGTCACACATGAACTACCAGGGTATTATAAGATATTTATTTTTAACTTCAGTTACCATTGTAATTTGTTGCATTTACCGTTTTGCATCCTCTCAATTACGAAACCCATCTTTCCAGTCCCTGCTTCCCTCGTTAAATATTCTTCATTTCCTTCAATGAAATTATTAGCCAGTTTTCTCATCTTTGGATCCAGAGACTGTTGCAGAAAGAACACGTACGCCACATCTGTACCGCCCCATTTTATGTTACGATCAGCCATGTCAACTGGCGTTTCAATTGGTTCCTCGTATCTGAAATAAGATGTTATTTGACATCCTTGAGGAATGTGGACTATTAACAAATGAAAGCCGCTGTCCTATTCCCCAGTCTTGTCACTGAAAGGAAATCAACATAAAGCATACGTCTGTCCGACCGTCCATCCATCCATTCACTCATTCGTTAGTTCATAACTCCAAGTAACCTTCGGATTATATTGTTAAGACATTTTAAATATAGTGTTGTAAATAAGAGACCTCCAAAGAGAAGAATTACGCTATTTAAAACAAAAGTGTCCCCATAATACGCTTTGAAATAGAGGCGATATTAGGAACTTAGAAGATTAAGAATATTTAAAAAAAGTTTTGAAAAAAGGACTGCTATTAACCGGAAATCGTAACAGTGAACACACAGTTAACCATTATCCTGCGCTACGACTCAAATTTTGGCCCATAAATGACACAGAAGTTTTGAATAGTGAATAGATCTCAACGTGTGCGCAGAAACTAAGGGCAAATAATCAATAAGATTTATTCTATACTGAAATCCGTAGGCGGCCTGCTTATAACTGAAGACAAGGGAGAATTTTTTAAACTGACATAATTGATTCCTGTTTCATAACTTAATGAAGCTGAAACTTTGTATTCTCATTAGTAAATACTTCCAAATGCATGGACTACGACACATCCCTCCGGGGTAGCATTTACACTATCCGAGCTGTAGTATGAACATCTGCTGTGTGTAGCCGATAACGACTCAGAACAGCATCATATGAATATATGATTTAAAGTCATTATCGTCGTCATACTATACTCCGTCACGAAGTTACGCCATTTAAGAGCGCTTCATTAAGTGGGCGTCTAAGCAGTGGTATTTTTGGGTTGGTTTTAGGAACGTGAACTCAAATATCCGGTGGATGCATTGAAACAGTTTTTCTTGTACGTGCATGGAGTTCTTGTTCTAAAGATCTAATTTTGATTTATTTTGTCTTTGTATTTCTTGCCTAAGTATTGCTTTATCAATTACACTTTCGATCTTGTTGGTTCCATATCTACAGAAGTATGATTTTTGTTTTCTCGAGTGATTTAATTAGCAGAACATCTACCTGGGTAGAGTAAGCACAGATGCCAGACCAGCTGAATATCCTGTGGTGACCACAAAGTAGAAGAGTATGAGCCAAGTGACAAGATGGCGCATTGGCACATGCCGGGGAGTGCTGAAGTCCCGCTCGTCCGGTGGTACTTGCAGCACCAGCAAGCCCATGGTGCGGAAAGCACACTCCACCCAGGTGGAGTACTTGTTGATCACAACTTTGCCTTGTGCTGAACCTTTCATAGAAGAAAAATATTTATTGAATTTTATGTGGGCTGTTGGTCACCACAGACGAGGGCTTAAGTGGGGAAGCCAAGTGGGAAGAGAACACCTGACAGATCGGGGCGTAGATGGTGGACCAAAACATGACGATGGACTATTTACAACAAGACTGTGAATATATGAAATTGTTGAAAAATCTGTGACCAAGGCCCCAGAATTAATTGCCGTACTGTGATGCTGGTCATGAAATTTCAGATGTCGTAACCAACACAACGTAACAACCAGAAGACCGTAGTCAGTTGTCTTCGTCGCTTTGGTAACCGCACTTGCTGGACATTTACATCCACTTTCAAGCCTATTGGCCTTACATACTGCATTCTATATTATTTGCTAACAGATCATCTGTACTTTTTTTAGCTTGTGTGACTTACCCTATTTATTTTCCATAAGAAATCATCGTCTCGTGTCTTTTCAGCAGTCATTGAACATAGATTTAAACATGGCGTTCATATTAGACCTGTATAAAGAATCCAAATGCTCGAATTTAAACGGTATATGTGCCGATGCGCTTTATATTTCTGAGACCTTAAGCGCGGAGGCATTCATTTACCCGGTCAGTTCTGTGTTGTGTGGGGGGTATTTCTGTTGGGTATTTTTTGTTGTTTCTTAGGAAAAAGGAAAGAGAAAACAAACTTATCCTTTACTTTATCCAGCCGAACGATAATTCAAGTACCAACCTAATATTCTTGAGCTGGCTTGAGAAGTCATGTACAGAACCAATGTCGACGTTATGACAGACAGTCCTACTGCAGACCATAGGTAGGTACTGAATGGGTGAATTGGAACCATCCATCCTGGTAGAAGTTTCGGCTTTGGCAGTACTGTTGTAAGAGATGTTCTGAAATAAACTGAACTGAAACGCACACAATTATATGAATTGATATTATTTTATAAAATCGATTGAATATTGTTACGTTTACGTAATTTACGCAATCTCCAAATCACGTCTTGAGATTACTGTGGTTTATAGTCGACTCAGATATACTGGTTATATGGGACTGTTAACAAACCAAGCATGAAATCAATTTTAGAGCTCAAAACTATGTTTACATCTAATCTAACAGACATTTTCTCCACACCAGACGTAATGGATATAACTTACGAAATTAAGTCATGAACATGAACCCACTAAATGGGAAAGCAACATTCTGCCCTAGATATTCTATAACATGAATTCCATTATATAAATTATAGAACTATATTATAGAACGATATCTCCAAGCAGGAAGTTACTGTTTCGTGTAATGGAGTAGGGTTGAAAACTCAATGTTGTCCAGAAATAAGATTAAAATTATATTTATTCGCAGAAATTCTGTGGTACTTAAGTCACAACACTGTGATTATATAAAGTTTGGTGTCGCCGTATTTTATGGAATTGCAAAATGATTACTATCACCGGAATGCGAATACCTGAGTGAGCATATTTTAATGTTTAAAAACTCTCTTACCTGTAATCCGTGAAACGATGTTCGTTTTCCCAAAGGTAAATGGCTCCAAATCCGACGTCTGCCTTGTCCATAGACACGTGCCCAGATAGACCGACTCCACTGCCATTTTCCCAAATGGCACCCCACCATTCGTCCGGCTTATACACGACCCGCCATGTGAAGTTATTCTGCTGGGCCCACGAGTACATAACACGGAACTCAAGTCCATCGTAAATGGGAGGATCCGAATCCTCGAATACCACGGATAGTGGTGGATAGAAGATAGCAGTAAGGCTAAGCGTTTTGCCCATGAGATTAGTTACCTTATCAGGATATAGGTCAGCGCGAAGCTGGAAACCATGTTTGGGGTCCCATACATCTAACGATATCCGTTCCGATGGATTTTGACCATTAAAGCGGTGGGTAATCAGTTCAAACTTCATGTTCCTTACGGTGCCCAAGTTACCTGTAAGGAGTTCATGTACTGACATTTTGTTTGACACCAATGATGTTAAATTAGCTGTAGAATAATTCCAAGCTGTTCTTCGTAGGAAACGGACCAATTCTGAACAACGAAATAACAAGTGTTAATCATTCACACTTGTGCTAGAATCGTTTTATTAGTACTCACCTGCACGCAGTAGCGTACTACAGTTGGATTCTGATGTTACATTAAGTTCGGTTAATTTGGCTATAACTAAGTCTGGCATGAAATCCATTTCCCTTGTCGCGAACATTTCCTTTATGATGGTTTCGAAGGCGTCATCTGGAATCCGTTTTGAGGGGAGGTACAAATACCTCCTATTGGCCCGATACGTCGACTGTGGGGAATGTGCCAACCTGGCCATCGTCTTCATCATGAAACGTACGTCCTTGGTTTGAACGATAAAAGCTAAGCAACCAGCATCCATTGGTGCCAAGAGGATTGAATCCCAGGCGTATTGTTTAAAACCTGAACCCACAGAATTCCACAACATCATCGTCATCATCATTTTCATTATAATAATCAACAACAAACTAAAATAATATTCTATAGCAATAGCCTAGTAGGTTTAACACCGCTAATACCAAAACCTGTTCCATCCACATTCTATCTCCACAACCTGTTTTCCTAAGATTCATCTGAGTGTTATTTATCTTCCTGTTTCTTGAACTTCCGAAAAAATATTTTTACCCTCTTAGCCTCTTCATTCAATCAGCCAATCGTATGCTCATAGATTTATTATGTATTATTTATGTTTCATTCAGACTAGCCTAATATTGTTAGAAAACTCCAGCGCCAAACAAGTTACATAGTAGATTTGTATTAAATGCATCTTGCAAAAATATTTTTGAGTACGCAAATTGGATTGAGTTGGCTCAGGATAGGGGAAGATGGCGATCTTTTGTTATCACGCGATTAAATTTGGGGCTACATAACGGAATTGAACAGTCAGCGTAAGCCACTTCGTGAATAAATTACACAGAACCATTGCGAATGAGAACTTCTTTTCTTTATGGATAAATTACACAGAACCCTTGCGAATGAGAACTGCTTTTCTTTATGAATTCATAATTTTTAGGCACGTGTAAAGAGTAGACTTAATGGTCTCATGCTATTTGTTAATCCATCCACTGATACGATTACACGGTGAGAGGTTGCCGAGGCTTAGTGATGTGAAACGTTTTGTCATAAATGTATAGTCGATCTGTCGTCTAGCTTCGTAACTCGGTTGTGGAGATCGAGTTGGTAGTTCCACAGTTTCCAACAAGATCGACAGCATTTGTAGTACAGACCTGATGATGGTACTTTGGAATCCTTCATTTCGGCGAATGGCAGATGGACGTGAAAAATTGGAATGTTTTGAGGGTGTATATAATCCATGATATCGTTGTTATCATCTGTTAGCAGAGCCAGACACTTCGAGTTTGAGAAGTGCCTCGATGCTATTTCCCGGCTCATTCCAGCCAGCTCTTTTGTGACATCATACGGTAGGCCGCGTGTGGCAGCAACAGCGTACATGCAGACGGTGAGAGCCAGCATGGTCGTAAGTGCTTAAACAGGAATCTGAAATGTAGCATACACACCTTAAGAAGAAAGCCTTATTGGCGAATTCTTCGATGTTTGTTATTTAGTGCTGTGTCTGATATTGCGTCATATTTGTACTGATTACTGGATCGTGTGTTACGGCCACTGTTAAAACAGTCACGTCGTCTGAAATCAGTTTGTTAGGTTGTGGGTTAAATGCGTACCGAATTAATTGTAAAGTATCGCCAGTTTAGTGATGCAATGTTTAATTTTTTATTGATAGCAGTAATTATGATATTTTACTACTATAATTATCATATAATACGATTTAGACACCTATAGCGGTCCGTGTTTGTCGCCCACCAGCTAATTAAGGCAGTCCGTGACTTTGACCTACCAGTGTACTCTGTTGCTACAAAAAATTATGAGTGGGAAATTGTATTCCAGAGGAATACACGGGTATTCCAAATGCTTCTTTTGCTGTTCTATATATCTTGCTGGTCTTGTTTTAATTTTTTGCAGATATAAATCTGTTTATGGAAAAGTGTCTGCACTACAGATGTCATACTCAACAGTCGAAATAATATTTTCTTACATTTTATTAAATATTCATTATATCGAGAGTCAGATATCTGATATTATCATGATAGATCTATAGATCTGTATGCAGTTTGTAACATTTAGTTTGAACTTCATATAAAGCAGAGATTATAATTAGTCAGTAAATATTCCCTTTAATTTTTGATATAGAACCCAGTACAAAATTTTATCGAAATCCTTCACGTAAGTTTGGAGATGAAATGTACAGATTGACAGAAGCAACGTCTCCACTATGAGTGTAGTGGCCGCTCTTTGTTCGAAGAACATAGGACAATCTGAATATCAAATGAAGACAGACCGCGTATGCTTTTGACGTAACGTGAAAATTATAAAAGTTATAGATCTGGAAATTACTTGTAGCCCTCCAGATAAAAACAGGGATAGCATATTAAATTAGGCCACGACAAATCGTATTCATATTCCTTTCAATTTACTATTCAGTAGTGATCTTACATTTGACATATATTCGATATTGGCTATTAGTCTGAACTACTGACAGTGTCAGTACACAAATAGAACGTTGCACGTGTATTTGAAACTGACATGGACCCTTGGGTTTCGCAGGCCTATAGGACTAGAGTTCCTTCGAAGTCCTAATTATCAGAGATTGTCACTAAATATATATCGATTTAGACTGTTGATTATTTACGAAAATGCAGGCCTTGCTTCAATACTTTGTATAGCGGCATTCTTTTACGAGCACTTACTTGAGCTTAAGTTAGACGTAAGTCTTACCTACCAGTTCTAATAGTATTGTAAGAGAAGTTGCGTTCTCACTTTTAATACGGGGG